CTTGTCGAGATGGATGAGCTTGTCGAGATGGATGAGCTTGTCGAGATGGATGAGCTTGTCGAGATGGATGAGCTTGTCGAGATGGATGAGCTTGTTGGGATAGATGAGCTTGTGGGTATAGATGAGCTTGTCAACGTGGACGAGCCAAGAGACGTAGACGACGAGCTTGATGATGATGATGATGATGATGCAGAAGACGATGCTGACGAGGTGAAAATTGAGCTTGACGACGTAGATGATGAGCTAGTCGTCGTTGATGTCGGCGTTGACGTGCTTGTCAAGGTAGATGATCCTGTCGAGGTAGTCGACCTCGTCGACGAAGTCGAGCTTGTCGCTGCTGAGGACGAAGCCGACGATCGACTACTAGAAGTAGACGTAGATCTGCTGCCAGTCGAAGAAGACAATGATTTGATTGTCGATGTACTGGGACGACTCAAGGACGTGCTTATGCTACTGCTCGATTTTGTTGACGAAGGGGTGACTGAGATCCTTGAGGAAGAAGAAGATCTGGAATTGGACTTTGACGAGGACGAAGAAGGGCTCTTGGTGCTAGTTCTGGAGGAGGAGGTGGTGGTGGTGGTGGAGGACCTCTTGCTACTGGATTTTGCAGATGAAGAAGACGACGCTTTGCTACTTGACTTCGTGGGGGAAGTCGATGACATTAAGCTACTTGATCTGGTCGAAGAGGAGCTGGTGACAGATTTCTTTGAAGATGAAGAGGATTTGGCAACAGACTTGGACGTCGACGAGGTGATTCTTTGTGTAGAAGAAGTCTGTGAGCTCAACGGCGCGTCAAGGTAACCGACGAGACAGTTACAGGCATGTCGGATGGAAGGGTTGTTCTGATTTAGCACTGGCGAGTCTGTCCTGGACCTGTTGGAGAAAAGTAAGAGTCATGCTCAAATGTCAAGATCGACAGTCTTACGAAGATTGCCAGAAAGTACAGAACGCAGCAGGGCTCTTGTACTCATTCTTGATGATGTCCTTGGCCGAGTCTGGACAACCTGCAGGCGTAAAACTGTGCAGTCTCGCGGCCTTGTAGATACCATCTTTGGCACGAGTCCAGGTACCGGAAGGTGAAGCGTTGATGAGGCACTTGCACGCACTCAACAAGGAATCAGGACCGATGTTTGGAACGGGCGACCTTGTCCTTCCACTGACTATAGGTCAGTGATCTGGAAGTCTTGTCTGAATTTGCATCGACTTGATGCCAGAAGATGACTTACTCGCTCAGGTACCAGGTACAGAAGTATTCCGGATGAGTAACCTGTCGCTTGACGAGAGCAACATCTGAAGAAACGCAAGCCCGTTTGTCAAAGGCAAACCCCTGTACAGCGAGGAATAAAGAGAACAAGGATAATAGACTCTGCAGGAGCAGCATGATGAATAAGTAACGATAGGCGTCACAGCCTTCGAACGAGGCGTGATGAAAAAACTTATTTGAGCATACCTTATCTTATAGACGATTCTGTCAACCCAAGACGCTCAAATTGCATGTCGGACAGAGGCATTTCTTGCGGGCAAATGCTAGAACTGATCCTTCAGGGACGTTGTTCAGCTGGCTCCTTCATGCTGCTATACAAATGTCTCTGATTGATATGTAGACTAGACGGCGCCCAGAGATTGGTGGCTTGAACTTGTGAGATCCTTAACGTTTAGGTGCTTGAGAGGCAAGCGCATCTCGTCATGCGGAGGAATGACATGCGGTACGGTGTATGGAATTGGTAGTACGGATACGATCCATCAAGTGGATAGATGGGTACATGAGTGACTGATAGAGCGGTCTTCGGGGGGTGTTGGTTAACAAGATGCGAATCTGCGTTCGACGAGTTAGGATGAGGGTGTCGCTTCGGTTCGGCCGGTCGCAACGGGCAGGAGCAAAGGACCGTTGTTCAGCTACGCCGGACCTTTCTCCTTTAAGGATGAATGCGAGAGGCAGCGAGACTTCCCTTGTACGGCGCGATTGAGACTTATCGGAAGGTGGCTCCGAGTGGAGAAGAGCAAATAGAGACGACGGATCAACAGGGCATATTGAGTTCAGGGCGAGCAAACATTGGCGACTTGCATAATAGTGATGCGGCTCTTCATGCGGTTTCTGGTTCATTAGTGTCTATCGCGCGGGTGCAGTCTAAAATGGAATGAGTAGAGCGATGAACAACTAGAGGAGACGATGGACAACATAATATTGCATCTTTGACGAGCGTTTCGCTCCGGTCTTCCGCAACGGCAGGAACGAAGGGCGTTGTTCAGCTGGAAAGAATCTGCCTACAACACATGACTCCCGCACCTCAATTGAGAACGACCTTCCACTTTAAGGTACACCTTTATCCTCTTGCATGCGAAGGATCTAAGACTCGACCAAAAGACACGGAACCGGAAGAAGATTGATGCGACAAAAAAGGGTATATTGACAATGCTAAACAGATGCGAATGTATGTGATCAAGCAGCTCACATGCCTCTAAACACGTTTCCGCTAGCACTCCTTCTCTCTTTACCTCTGGGTATCTTTCTTCCGTTTCCATCGTCGGCATCACCGCCGCCATATGATTCTCTAGGCTTCTGAGGTCTCTTTTGTACCTTTTGCGGTGCGAAAGTGACTTCCTTTTCGCCAACAACGCCACCTTGTCTGATGCTGCTCTTGGGTTGATCTTTGAGTCCTTGGGCAAGGTCGCCGAATGAGCGATCCCGACGATTGGCATTGGCGTTCTTGTTCTTTGGCTGTGATGATGAAACGGACATTTGCGGTTGCTTTGACTTGTGGCCTGATTTGCGGTAGTTGGTCGAGGAGATGCGATTCTTGTCGACGGTGTTGTCGTCTCCGCGGTCGTTGCGACGTTGGACACCGCGCTGTTGTCTCTCTGCTGCTGCATCGTCGACGTCGCTTTCTGACTCGTCGTCGGAGGAGCCGTGGATGGATTGGTTGGCCTCTTCTTCGACCGCTGTAAGACCACGCTTGCGTTCTGTGTCTTTTGCCACAGGGACTGTTGAAGGGTTGTGAAGTGCAAACTCGCGAGACTGCTCGTCGATCTCGAAGTCTTCGTCCTGGAACAGAGAAGCGAAACGCTCGTCGCCGAGGACACCTCTCGCTGGCTTGTCTGCATCTTCTTCGTCTTCTCCTTCTGCTTGTGCTTGAGGCTCGTCTCCTCCTTGGCGCAGAACACGTCTGGCCTTGCGACGCTCGTTTGCTTCTTCTCTTGCAGCCATCTTCTCTGCCAATCTTCTGTTGACCTTGACTTTGACAGCCTTGTTGCCACGAATACGAGACTCGCGCTCCTTGTTGATCTTCTCGGCGATAGATTTTGCGCGTTGTTCTTCGAACATGTCGGGATTGCTGATCAGGCGAGCCTGTTCGTACAGCTTCTGGGCGACAAAGTAGCCGTGCATGTATGGGCGGAGGAGGGAGGTGGTGCCGACGAGGTGGTCGAGGTTGAGTTCACGGAGTTGCTGGGTAGACAAGAACTTGTAGTTGTCGTAGACGGCGCCAGTCTCTTGTGTACCGGCGTTGAAGGCTCCAGGATCTTGCGCGTCCTCTGCCATTTCTTCGACGAGGTTGTCCAGGAAAGAGCACCACTTGGGCGCGGGGCCGAGCTGAGGAATGAAGAAGGAGTGTTGCTGACGGCCCTCGTTTGCAGTGAGGAGCATACCACTGTCCTTGCACCACTCGACGTGGTTGAGATCGACGGCGGGCTCGACGCTTGTCCACGGGTCGCCGTTGCTGGCCTCCCATATCTTGATGATACGCTTGTCGGCCGACATGAGCTTCTCCGACTGCACTTGAGTCGACGTGGGTGACATGTACTTGAGTGTCTGGATAGCGTAGCCGTAGCCTTGGTCTTTTGTGAGGAGCGGAGTGGGCGAGCGGAGATCGTAGACGTGCACAATGCCGTCAGAGTCGCCAGTTGCCAGGTTCAGACCAGAACGGTGGAACTCGAGGGCGGTGACTTGTGGGCGCTGCTGTTGGTGTTGTGTGGGAGATTGGAGGATACCGACGCGACTGCGGGAACGGCCATCCCAGAACTCGACGGTACCGATGGACGTACCGAAGGCGAGGAGGTTGTGCGAGTCCTCGGCGACGGCGGCCGTGTTGACGCAGCCGGTGTTGATGCCGCCCTGGAGAGCGCCAGCGCCCGAGCTTGTCCAGTCGTCACCTCCGACGTCGACTTCGTAACCCTTCATGTATCTTCCCAACTCCAGGTTCAGGCGGTAGACCTCGCCCATGCCATCCTGGTTGACACCCGAGGCAGGGATCAGAGCTTCGGCGGCGCGCTTGTTGTACTTCAGGTCGCGACCGTAGCGGGGAATGCGAGTGCGGTAGTGCATGCCGCCGGGCGTGTGGAACTCCAGAGTGCGGTCGGTCTGCAGATGCAGCGATTTGGAGTAGTCGGACGAGAGGAGGATGAAGGTCTGGTTGAGCGAGTCGGTGTGACGGGCGTACGACAGCGACAGATGCGGCAGGTAGTGCACATGTTGCTGCGGCTTGTATGTTCCTGTGCTCATCACCCATTCGCCGTCGTCACTCACCCTCACGCATTGCGAGGCCTCTTCGAACTCAAAGTCCTGCAACAGCTCGACTCTGTTTGCCCACTCGGGATCTTGCTTCAGACTGCGCTTTCTCTGGCGCGCGAGCCATTCCGGTAGCGGTCGGGCTGTTGCTGATCCAGAGATGGTGTAGACGGGCACCGTCGAGGGATTTGTCAACTTCATGATGTTGGTTGGTCGCTGATGATTGTCGCTCCATCGCCGCTGACATTTTTTTCTGAGACCCGCGCGACCCCAGATTTATGACGGCCGTAGCTTGCCGAGCGCTTCTCCGCAGAGCCGCTTTGATCTTGGCCGTCTGATCTGCGTCTAACAGATCCGCCAACTCGCCCGACGCCCGGTCGCTCCTTCTTCGCCGGATGTACATCGATCCGCCAACACACAAATAACATGACACGTCCCATTGCTGGCTTGGACGATCGCAAAGACGACATCAGGAAATGGATCCACCAAGATGGTCTCAAACTAGTCGAAGTCGTCGACAAGCTCAAGACTGAACACAATGTCATCTGTCGGAAGCGTACTCTTGAGCGCAACCTAAAGCTCTGGGGTTTCTCCAAACGCGCGAAAGTGGACCAGGCCGCCGTTCAGGAAGAGCTAATCAACTTGTTCCGAGGTCCTCACCTGACTGATCGAGCCATTTGTGCTCGTCTCAACGAAACTGGTCATGCTATCAATGTTCGCACAGTCATGGAGACGAGGAAGAAGCTGGGCTTGCACAAGCGCATACGCCCAGATACAAACGAAGATGACTTGCTGAATACCATCAAAGACCTGCTACAGGTCGAGTACCAAGACGAGAAGGTGTTGAAGATGCAACGCTCAGAATTATACTCGTATCTGCGTCAAAAGTATCCTGACCTCAATATCGTCGGAAGGTAGGTCGCTGTCAATATTATATGCATTTGTCGACCTTCATCACTGATGGACTTGTCGCAGAGACCGCGTCTTTGCAATTGCTCGTGACATGAATCCAACTCTCAAGCGACGCTATCCCAAAGGTCACCCCCTCTACCAGAATCGTCCTTATAAACTGTCCGGAAAGAGGTTAGCTGCAAAACTTGCCAAAGATGCTGCCGCAACAGTCCTTAGCACCACCGCAAACCAATCTCATGATGACTCGGTGTCTTTCAATGAGCCGGAGCATTCTTCCTCGGTCGACGACCACCAGCCTCTCCAGCCATACGAGTCACTCCGCTGCAACCCCGCTGCCATGTCAGATCATGAGTCCAGCACTGTACAGAGATCTCTTGCTGCTCCCGAACAAGTACTGGATCCCAGCTTACGAGTCAAATCGCTCGAGGAAGAGAACGAAGACCTGTACCGAAGGCTGAGGAACCAAGAGGCAGAGATGCAATATATGCGTCAAGCATACAACGACTTGAGGGCAAGACTCGGTCACTTGCCTCAATCTTTTGTGCTTCCAACCTAAGAGTATTCACTTTTTGACTCTCCACCGACTCCACCGACTCCACCAAGCTGCTGTACGTGTTGAGCTGAACCAGCACCATGGGTAGGAGATTGTCAGTGCTCTGCGGTTCCACTCAAATTTTGCTTACACGACACGCTCATTCGATGGAGTTAACGCGAAAGCTATACTACAGCTCACTGCTGTCGTATTTTTCGATCAGTGTTGGAGTGTTTCGCAATGTCGGCAGTACGAGCAGGGTTTTGCCCACAGCGTTGAGACTTGAGAACATCGAAACTTTGTCGCATTCCCGTCGCATCCCCGTCGCATCATCGACAAACCACATTCAAGTTTGCACGCTACGGGTAGTTGTCAACCCACAACACAGTTCAACAAAGACATGCCGCAATCAAAATCGAGAATGGAGATTGCACATTTTTCACTCGAACCATTGCGGCGCGGCGCATCCAATTTCCCCCGGACCGGAAAGCGCGGTCTCCGTGGGGCTTCCCAAACAATTCAGGGACCAGAAGCCATCACAAACGCCTTCTCCTATGTAATATCTATAAAACCCAATTCTCTGCTTGTAATGATTTTTGTTGTGCTTGAGTATACTTTGGGCTTTGTTGGTATATTTGTGCTTTCCATTCTGTGTCTGCATCATGGTCGTCACATCTTCTCACAGGTAATTGATTTCGCTCTCCCGCTTTCCCACCACCTCTTGCTACATGTGTTGAGGGACATGTTGTGGAAGAAAACAGAGCTGATGATAGAACAGCATTGTTCAGGATGGGTTGAATAAACCCGTGCATGATGAGACCTCCCCTCTGGTCTCTGTCGCAGAGACTACAGGAGCCGAAGACCACCGCGTCGACAACAGTGGAGAACGCGAGTTCGGAGGCGCAATCGGAGTTTCTGGCATGATGATTGGATTTCCCCTTCTCATGTACTATATGTGGATTGGCGCAACCTTTTACTCTGGTCACATACCCTCGCGCACACCTGGACAATCTTGGGATCAATTCTTCAGTCATTTATTCGACCTCTGCTACGAGCATGCATTCCCTCATACAAAAGCCTGGACAATCTACTGGACTTTCTTGATCTTCGAGGGGGCTTGTTATCTCTACATGCCTGGTGTCTATGGCAAGGGAAAACGTCTACCGAGTCTAGGCGGCAAGCAGTTGGAATATTACTGCTCTGCTGTCTGGAGTTGGTACACCACCATCATCCTAGCTATTGTTTTTCACTTCAGCGGTCTGTTTCCTCTGTACACGCTGATTGACGAATTCGGCTCCATCATGAGTGTAGCCATCATCTCCGGTTTCGTGGTCAGCATAATCGCATACTTCTCTGCTCTTTCCCGCGGAGCTGAACATCGCATGACTGGTTCACCCATCTATGACTTCTTCATGGGTGCAGAACTCAACCCGAGACTTTTCACCTGGTTGGACTTTAAGATGTTCTTCGAGGTTAGAATCCCTTGGTACATTCTGTTCTTGACTACTCTGGGTGCTTGCGCGAGACAGTATGAGACTTATGGATATGTTTCTGGAGAAGCTTGGTTTTTGTTGATGGCGCATTTCTTGTATGCGAATGCTTGTTCGAAGGGTGAAGAGTTGATCATTACCAGTTGGTAAGTTCTTCTGCATCTCTCATAGTATTGCTAGGCAAACGAGCTAACGACGTAACTCCAGGGACATGTACTTTGAGAAATGGGGCTTCATGCTCATCTTCTGGAACTTGGCTGGTGTACCCCTCTCTTACTGCCACTGCACTCTCTACATTGCAAACCACGACCCTTCGGAATACGCATGGCCAACCTGGGCACTGACTCTACTCTTCGTCGCTTATCTCTTTGTCTACTGGATCTGGGATACCGCAAACTCTCAAAAGAACATGTTCAGAGCCCAGGAAAGAGGTGTAGCTTTGAACAGAAAGACATTCCCTCAGCTTCCCTACAAAGCAGTCAAGAATCCCGTTTCCATCAAGACAAAGACCGGAGATAGCATTCTGTGTGATGGGTGGTGTACGTGCCTCCCCTATTATCCCCTACTTCCTTGTTTTCCTCTACTGACATTTGCTGTAACAGATGGCAAAGCACGCAAAATCCACTATACCTGCGATCTCTTCTTCGCACTCTCCTGGGGCGCCATCACGGGCTTTAATTCACCCTTCCCATGGTTCTACCCACTATTCTTTTCTTGCATGATTGTGCATAGAGCAATTAGAGATATCCAAAAGTGTAGAGCCAAGTATGGTGATGCGTGGATGGAGTATGAGAAGAGGGTTCCTTGGCTGTTTATCCCGGTGGGTCTTCGTCTTTGTTGTTGTCCAGGAGTGGATGCTAACGTGCTGCTGCAGTATGTCATCTAGAGTACGATCACACCCGCCCGGAAAGGTTCGGAAGGCAAAGAGTGGTGATAAGAAGAAGCATGATTCGGAGTAGATTAAGCAAAGACATTTATTTTGGCATCGAAAGCTTTCTTGGACTTCAAGGGCACATTTAGATATGATTCTGTATGACGAAAACGTTGATGCGATGGATAACGGTGGGAATGAAGTCTACACAACTAGGACCATCGATGTTTTCCATCTGCTTACGTGTGAAAGATGTCAGTTTCATTTTCATATTCCGCACGGACTCATGGTTTGACTTGAAGAGAAAAAGGGATCGACCTCAACTATCAGTGACGTGACTGTGAGCAATTACGACGGAACCCTTGAGCGTCATCTTATCATCTTGATAGTTGGTAATGCCAATGCTGATCTCGATGATAATATCAAAAAACAAACGTGATGTGAGCTGGAGATGTTGCGATATCATTAAGCTCGATGATAGGATAAAAGTGGGACGAACCCAGCGAAAATATTATAGAAGGGGAAAATCAAGGAATATGAAGAACAAGACATGAGTTCAATGGAAGAAGATCAGAAGAAGGAAAGAAAAGATATGTATCCTAAAACAAAAAATGTATGGTAAGTGAAAAGTGAAATAGAATGAGATTAGAAGATGACACTAAGAAAAGTGCATTACAGATGATATGCAGAGAAGAAAACAGGAGTGAGAAGAGTACGAAAAGTGGGGCAGTGATTTCAGGCCGACACAGTGCCGTTACCGCCAGAGATCATAGCCAGAGGAGAACAGACTTGAACGGGAGCTCCAGTGACAGTGTAGACGATATTGCCATTGCCCGTCAGTGCGTCCAAGCCCGATTGATCATTGACGACGAAGACTTTGCTATCAGCACCGTTACTAAAGCTGCATAAGACCAGGCTATACACCTGTTGCTTGGTGGTGACGGCAAAGTAAGCCAAAGGGTTGGTGCTGTCGGCATCATCATAGTCGATTGGCGAAAGAGTAATGGCATCGGCACTCTTGGGGATGATGGCATCAGAGCTAAGTCTAATACGACTGACATTGTAGACAGCCATCTCGTCAGGGTAGAAATGGAGTACGCGCTGACCGTCATCACCAAAAATGACACCATCATATTGTGCAAAGAGTCCAGTGTCGCTGGTGGATCCTGCAGTATACGCTCCAGCATACAGGTTTCCGTCATCTCCGGGAATGATTTGGAAAGTCTGCTGTACGTCGATGAGAGTAGTGAAGCTGATGCCGTCCTCGTCTTGCTCGTCTGCCGACAGACCCAGCGCGGCGTCGGCGCCGTCCTGGAATTCGGCGCCATCTGCGTTGCTGGACTCATCGTCGACTTCGAGATTGCCATTCGTGACACTGTCGGTGCTGGCGAATGTGTCCTCATCGTCATTGGCAATCACCGTGTCTTCATCCGAAGACGTAGAATTGTCTTGACGGCGCATGATGGTCGAACGACGGGCAAGAGCGCTAGGAGGAGTGGTTTCTACACTTGCTGAAGTTGCAGTAGTCGAGTCTTCGGTGGTCTGTGCGGATTTTATAGAGGTGGGAGCAGCAACGGTGGTCATGTCGCTGGTCACCGGGGTCTCGCTAACAATTTGAGCACTCGATGCATCGGAAGTAATCGAGATCGAGTCGGTTGTCGATGCCGGAGTGCTCACGTCAGCACTTGTCGAGATTGTAGTAGAAGAGTCCGCGGAAGATGCCCCAGTAGTCGATACAGCTGTGCTTGCGCCATCGGTGGTCGCCGAAGAGATCGTGCTAGAGCTAGAAACCTCGGAGGTGGGCATTGCAGAAGTGACTGTGGATGAGTCGCTCGAAAGACTCGACTCAGAAGACGCGGAGGAGACCAGACTGGAAGAAGACGATTTTGATGCAAAACTAGAACCTGTTAGTGACGTGGCCATGTCCTTGATTCGATGTAATTACGCTTTACAGCCCTGAAGCAGGGGAGGGGAGTCGTAGTGATTCAGGTTGAAAATTTTGAGGCCGAGGAAATCGAGATTGACATCGTTCTGGACTAGGAGGGAAGTTAGTGTCACCGACAAAAAACACAAAATGCTGCTACTCACAGTTGGCGAAGTATTCGAGCCCGTTGTTGCAAGTTGCACTAGCAGGTGCTGTATTGGATGTGCTTCCGGCAACAGTGAGTTTTCCGTACAAGCTTGGCTGCTCGATCAACGATATGGCTCTCTTGAGACTCAGAGCTGGAATCTCGAATCCACAGTTGATAGCAATAGGTAGTGCTAGAGTCAGAGAGGCGGAGACTTCGGCACTAGCTTCGAAGCGCTTCTCAAAGGTAGGGTTGAGTCCGGAAATCGATGATTTGCCAGCGCCATCCTGATCGAACAAGTTGATGTTTGCTTGGAAATTTGGAATTGTCATGACAACACCGACAAGTGCCTGACCTTCGGCTGTGACAGCAATGGTGCTAACAGCGTCAACACTGAGATACACTCCAGCGGAAAACACGCCCTTGACGGCAACGCCGACTTCAGGAAGGGGGGCCCGGACCAAGGCCTTTGACTTGGTGTCAGAATACTGTGCGTGAGCTACCAAGCCAAGGTTGACCCCAGCAACGAGATTTGCATTCACAGCCGCAGAAAGTCCATGTAAACCGTCCAGGATGTTGAACTTTGCTTGACCTGCCAGAGCGATGTGCCCTTTGACGCCGCAATCTACACAGAAGACAGTGATGTCACCGCTGGCCTTGCCAGACTCAGATGTTTTGCTCTTCGAGTAGATCTGAGTAGCCTTTCCCCATGGTGAGTCTGCATCAGCATCAGGACCAAAGTTGAAGTCTTTCGAGCCACTGATCGAAGGGTCAAACTCTGTCTGCTTAGCAATGAAGTCTCCGACTACCGGAATGTGGCGAATGGCAGTTGCGATAAGTCTGACAGGAGCCGTGTAAACTTGGACGACTGTCTTGACGACCTTGGTGACTGCTCTAGCTATCGCCTTGAAAGGGTTCCATCGCTTTTGCAGCGCCAGAGCGCGGCGAGAGAGAGTTGTGCCATCCTCAGCATCGGTAAGATCCTCAGAGCTAACACTAGTGTCTGGCAAGAAGTCCGAGAGACTGGAGCCATCCGCAGAATTGGAACTGAAGTCCAGATAACCAATGGCATCGTCAAGCTCTTGGTCAAACTTACCATCACCACAGTTGGCAGCAGGCAGGCCATCGATAACACTAGAAGGTGCAATACCACAGGCTGCACCATTTGCGGTTGAGTTCGAAGACCCAGATCCAGAGGGTGAGGGACCGGATCCATTTGTAGTAGACGCCCCTGCGCCTGAGCCGTTGCTAGAAGCAGTACCGTTGGTTGAGTTGTTGGAAGGGTAGTAGGTTCCCCATTGCAGGTCGACCTCATACAGAGCGTTTTCAATCGCCAACTCGCTCTCGACGGCAGCTAGGATAGACAAAGAGTCGGCCAACAGTTCCAAAGAGTCGATCATCCAGAAGGTACGCTGCTGATCTGAACTTCCGTGACAGCCGTCTGTGTAGGTAACGAGTACGAATCCTGATCCCGAAGCCGACCAACTGTTGGATGCAAAAACAAATGCCTCTCGGGAAGTGAACGTAACGAGAATTCCATCATTGGAACATGAAGTGTTGGCCACATATGAAGAATGATCGAGAACGACGGATTCATAGGTAGTGGTCGTCGATAGCGAAGCGAACAGATGAGCCGTTGAAAGTCAAACAGCAAAAGTTGAAACGCTCTGCGGCTATGGCAATACCTTCTTGGCAGATGAGGACTATGTGAGTTGATCACCTTGGTCCAAAAGCCGCAACTGTCAGTCTGTATAACAATCGAATCATGGTCCTCGTGTTTCGAGCCTCAGTGCTTATTCTCATGTACCACACCAGGACACTGGGGGGACACCTTCCAGATCGATTGTTGGTACTCAACAAGACAGAATTGATTCACCCGAGCACATTAAGCTTCAAGTGATAGTCCACTTTGGATATATCGCCCAGAGTCTACTGGAGTGTGGCATACGTAGGATCGGGCCACAGATGCTAGTTCTGGAGCATGAAGGGTTCTATACACCAGTCTTCCAGAAACAAGTTGAGGTTGTGAGGGAGCGTTGGCGGCCACGTTGAAGGTAACCAGTCATAAGCACCTTCGTCCGCGTGTGCCTGGAAGCCGGCCCGGAGTGCAGGACTGACGCTCATACCGATTGTATGATCGTTTGAGGGAGGATCTAAACCAGAGACCTGACAGACAGTCGAAGCGGGCTCGTGGTCGTATGGTACTGGCGAACAGTGAGACGGACTGAAGCCTTCCATAGTAGGATCAAGGTTGACATCGAACGCTTGATAGAAGACAGCTTGGTTCAAAAGACTAGTGGAAGAGCGCCTTGAGGCAGGAGAAGAAGTGGAGAGCGTAGGCCCTGTCATGTCTGGGCATGACACTATCGGACAAGTATTGTCGATGTTCAGTTCTTGAGCGACCCTATTCAATCTTGCGAATGTTCGTATGGCACTACCACTGATCCACGCGCTAGCAGCACATATCCAGATATGGCTCAAGGCAGACAAACTGCTTGGACGATACGTCGCGCGGAGTTCTGCTCGCTCATTGCCTGTTCCATCTGAACACACTCCGAACCAATGAAATGCTCGTTAAATGGACGGTCCGCTCGATACAATGTCTTTCTGGACAGCTCTGCACTGATCTCATCCAACGGAGACTCCCACTGAGCAATCTGTAACTGCGCCATTGGGGATGAACCTCTGAATGACTGGACCTCGTAGAAGTCCCAGATGTCACCCATAAATCTCGCAATGTCAATCCCAGCGCTCAGCGTTCAGGTGTGGGATATGGGTCGTCGGTAAGGTCAGCATTTCGACGTCCAATTCGCTTCGTGACTGATGAAACGGACGTTGATCAAGGCAATACGATTCTAGGAAGGAGTCCGGTAGACAGCTTAGTCTTCTTGAAATATTGCCATTACCTTGTGTGATATGGGGCAGCCCGGATTCGAGCGCTTGGGGACGATCCAACACGTAGAGGGTGACCGCAGATCACCACTCGGATTACGGAACATCTCGTCAATCAACATCCCACATTCCCGTCAGATTTATAGATGCTATTCTTGTGTCATCTCTATGATCGGACAATACTTATTTTTGACCCGAATACATACACATTTAACAAAACATCATTTACCATTTCAGCTTGATCACCACGAAGGAAAACTGTCCAGGGTCCTGAGGAAGTACGTAAACTATCAGATTATGCCAAAGAGCTAGTTGAAAGAGCAAAATCAAGCATTGTTTCTTATGCGGAACATCAGAGAGCAAATTGTATTCCTTGACACGTTATCTATTGAGCCTTCTGAAGCACCATGGTGACTTTCCTTGTTGAGCAACCAATATCCCTCGATGGGATTCATTTGAGGACATCCTCTGTCATTCCATATCAGATCTGCTCCATCTAGGAGGAATGCCGTTCATCATTGAGGAAAGCCTCGTCTTAGCTATCGTTTCGCCGAGCATTGTTACCTATTTAGCACCGACAGCTTCGTAAGCAGTCGCTCGGAGTAGGCACCAGCATATATCGCTCAATGCACGGCATCCTTCTAGCCAGGTAATCGAAATCGAACACAGCGCTATGGAAAGCTGCATGAAGTCTAGCTCATGCGGAGGTGTAGAACAGTACCTGTTGATCAGTGTAGAACACCGCAAACCAATCAACCAGAAAGAGCAAATCATGAAAGGCGACGGTCAGGGTCTGGCTCAGCGATAGGTAGATTGATTCAATACGATAAGTCTGGGTGGACAGATGCTTAAACAAAGGAAAGAAACCCAGACTCCATCTTAGACCAAACTTATGCCGTTAACAAAGGAAAGCAAACACCAATTTTTCCCAGGCCCAATCAACCACCAGTCCATGCGCTATATGATACTCCAAAACGGCCACTATACATATTTGCCTTCAGCTTATGAGGGAAACACAGATTCAAGGCTGGGAAATGTGAAGTCGAAATCGATGGGGCTGCGAGGAGCGGCGATCTGAAGCAACTTGTTCTTTGAGTACGACAGTCCTGCAAATACAGTCAGATGAGGAAGTTACTTGTGGAGCAAGCTCAAGATCTGCTTACCAGAGAAGATGTTGCTGATAAGCTTTTGAGATCTGGTTGAGACTGAGGATGAGACTGATGAAGTGATTGAGGCAGCATCAAGGTCTTGAAGGTCTTCAATGTTCATAAAGTATTCTTCCAAAATCGATCTCGGTGATGGCGGGCAGCTGGACTGGGAAGTGCTCATTTGCGACATGCTTGCGGCAGACATTGTGGGGACGGTAAAATTGTAGAGGTAGTAGAAAATTTGATCGATTGCTCGAAAATGGATGTTGCTGAGTGGAGTGTGTCAAGAATTCGGACTTTCGAGTGTTGTATGTGAGATGCTTGCTGATTGGGAAAGTGTTGTGGTGTGCTCTGATTTTTGTGGATGCATTGAGCTCGAAATATATACAAGTGAACTTGTCTTCTGTCTGCGTATCGATGTACATGGCCAATGAACAAATCGGCAAGACCGAAACGTCGTTCATCACCCACTCACAAGCTAGGAAAAAGAGCTAGGAGAAACCCGAGATGTTTTGGGTCATCAGCTAGAGCTTTGGGAAGCAACAATCAGAGAGCTGAGAACTTGAGATGACTGCAGGTCCGGATGTGGAAGTAGGTGCAAGCTGATCGGAGATTCAACGGTGGTGCATGAAAGCCATGTGGTCGCTGCTTTGCAAATCATGGTTGCCAATTCACGACAAGCTTTTGTGTGTCGTTAGCACATGCCATTTCCTCCGTCATTTGACCTTCTGGAAGGATTCGTTGCTAGAGCGGAATTGCTTCTGTTTGGGCGTTCAGCCACTGTCAGCCCCCTAGGAAGGAAAAAGAGCTGCGTCGTGTGTTAAAAGGTGGACGGTCAAACCCGGTTTCGCAGCTCTTCAGCTGGCGTTGTGCAAGCCCCCAAAACCGTTGCGCATTCGTCAGCCGAAACTTGCCCTTTCCAACTTTCCACGTGCTGACATGCTGACTCGTCACCCACCCAAATCTCATCTTCAGCTCATCCGTTGGAGTCAATTTTCATCAACGATGCAACGATGGCAGCTGCAAACACAAGACAACGTTTGCGTTTCTTTTTTCGACTGATCGGACTTTTGGAGATAGCGCCGAATAGAGGACCATTGTCTGTGAATGGTACGGCGACGCCGGAATGCCATGTGAAACTGTCGCTATATCCGTGCAATAGAATTGTGGTCTGTCACAATCAATTTCACTCTTTGGCGGAAGGGTCATATAACTAGACGTCTCACCAGTCGTTTCTGACACCAGATCACTCTGAACTATCCTCTCAGCATCATGTCTTCTCACCACTCAGATTCGTCATCATTTTCCAGCTCTGAGAAAGAGGTCGCCGACTTCTCTGTCATCGAGCTGAATGCAGACTCTCTGAACTCTTCCAGCAACTCCAGTATTGAAAATGGAGTCTGCGACTCGGACAAGATTCCCAATGGCGGACTCGTCGCTTGGCTGCAAGTTCTGGGTGCCTTCTTCCTCTGGTTCAACACATGGTTAGTAATGCAAGATCTGTTCCCTGAACTAAGCTCATGCCTTCCAGGGGTCTTGTCAATGCCTTTGGATCTTTTGGGACATACTACGCTCTCGGTCCTCTTCGCGACTACCCAGCTTCGACCATTGCGTGGATCGGCTCGATACAGGCCTATTTGATGCTGTTCGCCGGTGCTTTGACCGGACCTCTATTCGACGCAGGCCACTTTCGTATCTTGTTGATCGTCGGCTCCTCGCTCATCGTGGTTGGCTTGATGACCGCCAGTGTTTCGACAGAGCTGTGGCAAGTCATGCTTTCGCAAGCCTTTGCCGTTGGTCTTGGAATGGGCTGTCTATTCTCTCCATCCCTCGCCATTCTCTCCACATACTTCTCTGAAAAGAAGTTCTTCGTGTCTATGGGTCTTGCTGCAGCTGGAAGTGGTCTTGGTAAGTACATACTTCACAGGCTTATGACAACCTCCGCTAACCATTTCAAGGTGGTACAATCTATCCGATCGTCTTCCACACCTTAGAGCCAAGGATAGGCTTCGGATCCGCAACCAGAGTCATTGCTTTCATCGCTTTGGGTACGCTCTTGGTCTCGAACGCCGTACTCAGAGTCAGAGTCCTGCCTGCTCAGAAGCGTAAAATCTTCGACACGACCGCTTGGAGGGAGCCTGCCTTCACAGTCTATGTCATCGGATCAATGATCGCTTTCCTAGGCACCTGGACCCCATTTGTTTACATCGAGGTCTATGCTCTCTCATACGGCATCACTTCGAAAGAGCTTGCATTTTACCTCCTCCCCATCATCACTGCTGGATCCATCTTCGGTAGAGTTGGACCAAACTTGATTGCTGCCAGAATCGGACTGTTCAACGTCGTCGTTCCCTGCCTTTTCATCACCGGCAGTCTTGCATTTTGCTTGATCTTCGCAAAGACACAAGCTTCCTTGATTGCCGTCTCCTGTCTCTACGGCTTCTTCTCTGGTTCTATCGTATCAATAATCCCTGCTCTTGGTGTCTTCATTTCGCCAAGCAGAGCAGTTATTGGAACGAGAATCGGTATGGCTTGTGCGACCATCGGTCTCGGTATGCTTGCTGGCACACCGATCTCGGGTGCAATCTTGACCAGGTATGGCTTCACAGCCACCTGGGCTTTCTCTGGGGCTGCAGCGGTTTTAGGAGGTTGTTTCCTGGCTGCTGCTCGAGTGTTACACGGAGGTTTGACTCTGAGGCAAAAGTTATGATCGGACAGTTAGTAATGAACCATGTTTTTCCTTCTTTGCCTGGAGTTGTGAATCCTCGTTCGGTGTGCACGCCATGTCTAGTGTCACCGAGTCTACTGCTTTGTAGTAAGAGGACACGTATGATCAGCCTGCGCGAACTGGAAGGTAACCCGAGTCACTGAAAAATGATGTGCCATAGCGAACGCAGGTGGGGAATCAGTACTACAGCGGCGCGCGATTGAACCGTAACCCCAAACTGCGAAGATTCCTCTTCGCAACGATGACTAGAAGTCTGAGTCAGTTCGTGCGTTGCGTAGGATGATCGATCTATCATGTTGGGAAGGACGCAGTGGGCCACTGCATGTCGCTGATGCATGGGGTAGATTGCGTGCTAGCACGACAACGCATCCGCTCACAGAGTACGCAAGCACGACCCTTCCATCGAAGTGCTTACTTATAGTTGCCTCTGAGTGCTGTCAAATTCTGCACAATACCATCGTAGACTACTCAGACATGGCGACCAAGAAAGAAATTCTGCTCAATGCATTCGATATGAGCACAATCGGGCATCTGTCGCCCGGGCAATGGAAGGTGATCGCTGCAGCCTCCACTTCGAGTCTACTTCAGGTGTTGATAATCGTAGAATCCCAGCGACAAGTCAACTACAAAGCGTCGCCTAGACTATTGGATCGATCTTGCGAAATTGCTTGAGAAGGGCGACATCAATGCCTTGTTCTTGGCTGACACATATGGTGGCTACGATACTTACCAGAACAGTTTGGACGAGTGCATTCGTCGCGCGGCACAATGGCCAATGACAGACCCGACCATCGTGAGTTCAATTTCTGGTTCATCTTGGCTAGCAGCTGATGATTGGATGATTGCGACAGCCAATCTCTGCCATGGCGGCCGTCACGAAGAATCTTTCATTTGGCATCACTGCCAGCACATCGTTCGAGCCGCCCTTCTTGCTTGCGAAGAGGTTCTCAACATTGGACCATCTGACCCAAGGTCGTATCGGATGGAACATTGTGACATCCTGGAAGAAAGCTGCCTTCAAAGCTATTGGTATCGATACCCCTATCGACCATGACGAGCGTTATGAGCAAGCAGACGAGTACTTGAGACTGCTGTACAAGTGAGTTGATTTAAAGCCATGGTTATGACGAGCTGAAAAGCTGACCACCAAAGACTTTGGGAGGGCTCCTGGAGTGATGATGCAATCATTGCCGACGCCAAGAATGATACATACTTTGATCCTGAGAGGATCAGAACAATCAAGCATCAGGGGAAGTACTTCAATCTTGAGTCGAGACATATCACCGACCCTTCGCCTCAGCGCACGCCATTCCTGTTCCAAGCTGGAACATCTCCGTAAGTACCATGCGTACATCATCGCGACATCATACTTATCATATTAGTGCCGGCTCCTCCTTTGCCAGCAAGCATGCCGAGGCCATTTTCGTGTCAGGCCATAGCCCAGAGGTCTTGAGACCGCGAATTGATGCGATCCGTAAACTCGCCAAGGAAGAAGGTCGCGACCCAGCGTCCATCAAGTTCTTTGCTACATTTACCCCAATTCTGGGAAAGACAGATGAAGAAGCTCAGGAGAAGCTAGCTGAACTCAAGAAGTATGCGTCTATCACCGGAGGACTTGTTCTGTTCTCTGGTTGGACCGGCATCGATATCTCGAAGATTCCTCTGGATCAGGAGATCACCGCGGCAGACTCGAAGGAAGTCCACAAAGTGACTTCGCAGCTTCATGCTTTTACGACTACAAGCAAGGAAGTTCCCAAGTGGACACCTCGTGTTGTGGCGGAGAAAGTGGGAATTGGCGGTCTCGGACCTGTCGGTGTCGGATCGCCAGCAACAGTCGCAGATGAGATGCAACGATGGGTTCGCGAAGCTGACCTCGATGGCTTCAATATTGGTTACGTCACTACCCCGGGTACTTTCGAAGACGTTATCGAGCTGTTGATACCCGAATTGCGGCGCCGTGGCGTCTATCCGGAGAAGGGAGCGAAGAACGGCCTGACACAAAGAGAAAAGGTATACGGTGCAGGACAGGCGAGTCTGAGAGCCGACCACACTGGAAGCAGGTACAAGTACAACGTCTACAAGGAAGATGCTCCGTACGTTGTGCAGGACAAGCAGGAGTTACCCGGACATCCAGATATTGGTGGTAACCAGAGCGACGTCCTGTTGGAGAAGAATGGCGTCTCGGTCAACGCGACCGAAGTTGCGGCTTGATAAGTGTTAGAACTAGCTCTTTCGCAGATCCGATCAGTATTGTCTTTCCCCCCACCCACGACTGCCCTTGTCTCCATCTTCCATTGGAATTAGTCCGCCGTTCATTGCGATACCAGCATTTCCGAGCGAGATCGTGGCTGGCAGCAAACGTGCGGCTTGAGTCGCGCTTTGGTCACCTCCAGCACAATCACCTGCGAAATCTTCATGAAGGTGCGTGTACCATCAGAACACGACAGAATGACCCCCAGTTGGTTGAACGGGGCAGTTGAGCATTTTCCGCGACAGTGAGTGCAAGTATGTCCGGGATCTCGAAACTCGGGATGTTGAGTGCGGCATCATTTTGGCCCTGCTTGCGTGCGAGAGCAAACAAGACAAACCACTCCGCACTGAGATGGAATTTCCAGAAGCTCCCTCAATCTTCGCGTGTCGCAATTCACTCCATTGTCGAGTTCTCGCGGCATCGGCAAGCGCGCGAGCGAGCGATGAAAATTGATCTTCTCATGCTTCGACGTGTAACGCAATTGCGAGAGATAATGCACCAGCGGCCTCACTCGTGCGAGACTGATCATCTCCAGCTTGCGACGCTGTTATTCGTCCAGTCAGAGGCAGTCGCGATGACGTGAGCACGCACGCCATCTGCTCTTGCAATAGAGACACTTCCGTGACGGTGAGAAAGCCGATGATGTTTCCAAAAGGGCACGATCCTTGTGAGTATTCTGCGTCAACACAAACATCTTCTCGCTTTTTCTTTGGGCTTGTATCTCTGGTCCCCATCCACGAACGTCCCCAAACCACAGTAAAATGGCCACCATAGCTACAGTTCGAGTCAATGGCGCTTCAGAACTTCGTGACATCAAGAGCTCTAGTGTCAGTGTCGTCGAAACCATCCAAGACTCACCGCAAAACACAAATGCTGGTGGGGACGATGTCTCGGAACAGAATTGGACTTACCCATATCCGACCGATTTCAAGCTTGGTGAGCATCCAATCGATGATGTTCGCGAGCTCAAGGTAAGGTATCTAGCTGCTTAAGCCTGTTGCGAAGCTCACAATCGCCAGGTAGCTGTTATCGGAGCTGGGCTCGCTGGTGTCACTGCTGGAGCGTTGCTTCCTGCCAAAGTGCCTGGTTTACAGTTGACAATACTCGAGAAAAATCCGGAAGTGGTATGCCATGAAATCTCATCACACTTGTCAGCCCTCGAATCTCTATCTCACACTCAATATGTCCTTCATTTCTGACATATTGCAGGGAGGCACATGGTTCGAAAATCGTTACCCAGGCGTTCGCTGCGATATTCCTGCAAATGTCTACCAGACAAGCTTTTCGCCAAACACGCAATGGAGCGAAGAATATGCGCAGGGACCCGAAATCCTCGCCTATTGGAAGAGTATTGCCGCCAAATATAACGTCTACGATAAGATCAAGTTCCAGGTCAATGTGCTTGAAGCCGTGTGGGAAAATGAGAAGTCACAATGGCGACTCGAGATTGAGGGTCTTGCCACGGGCGTCAAGCGCACCGAGTACTTCGACTTCATCATTTCTGCTATCGGTCATTTCAACGAGTGGAAGTTGCCTGAATATCCAGGTGAGTGATAGCGTAGGGGTGATTGCCTCTGGACGCCTATGCTCTGTCAGTCGTGGGAGTGATTTCCTAATGCGAGATGAGAGCAGGCATCGACGAATACGAAGGGCATCTTCGTCATTCAACCAATTGGGACCCGACATTCGACCCCAGCAGAAAGAGAGTTGCTACAATCGGTAACGGCGCGTCTGGCATTCAAGTCACACCTGAGCTACAGAAGATGGCAAGTCACGTTGACCACTACGCTCGAAGCCCCACGTGGATTGCAGGAAGTTTCAATGGGTCGGCAAGAGAACGTCAAGCGACTCCTCTGCACTTTACATCCGCGCAGCTTGAATCATTCAAGGATCCTGCGACTTATCTAAAGTTTCGCAAAGAGCTAGAAGGGCCGTTCTTCAGACGCTTCGATGCTGTTCTCAGAAACTCTGAGACAAGTAAGAACTCGGCTCGCGATTTCAAAGAATTGATGAGAAAGAGACTCGTTGAGAAACCGGAGCTCCTCGATCAGATTGTCCCAGACTTTCCTCCGCATTGTAGAAGATTGACTCCTGGCCCCGGGTACCTCGAGGCGCTCACAAAACCTAACGTCAGCTTCATTCAAACTCCGATCTCCCACTTCACAAAGGACGGCATCGTCACGCAAGATGGTGTTCATCGACCCGTGGATGCGGTCATCTGTTCCACCGGTGCGAATGTAGATTTTGCTCCTCCTTTTCCCATCATTGCCGGCGACTACGACCTCTCCAAAGACTGGAGACCTGACGGTAAGTTCGGATGGCCTTACTCTTACCTTGGCATCGCTACTCCAGGGTTCCCAAATCTGCTGCATCTTCATGGTAAGCTTACAATCTACCTTTCCCACGCTCTGTCGATCTCACTGATTTCGTAATAGGCCCCAACGCAGCAGGAGCTTCTGGTTCTGTCCCACACTCAGTCGAGAGTCAAGTGGCATACATGGCAAAAGTCCTTCGCAAAGCAAGCAGTCAGGGGATATCGAGCATGCAGCCATCCAAGGCCGCAGCCGATGATTTTGTAACCTACTGCGACGCTTTCTTCCCTCGCACCACTTTCTCGCGCAAGTGCAGTAGCTGGGCAAACGGTCGACGTCCAGGCGGAAGGATCCATGGACTTTGGCCTGGTAGTGCGAGTCATCTTGCCGTGGTACGCAGGGAGCCAAGATGGGAAGACTGGGAGTACACATATGTGAGGCCAGAAAACAGATTTGCTTACTGGGGCAATGGATGGACTAAGCGGGAGTTGGATCCTGATAGTGACCCCACCGTGCATCTCAAAATGCCAGAGAAGATGGATTTGCGAGACTTACATGAGCGGTGGTGGGACTTGTAAGGAAGCATGTACCCACGTGTAACTACGGTCAAGGATAGATACCGGGTGACATAAAATATGCCATTTGGCGATGACCTTCCAATTGAACGTATGTCGCATTTGTCGCGCGAGATCATATTGATCTATGCTGAAGTTCATGTCGGCACCGAATGGCTTAATTGTTGGGGTTCTCCATGCTGCAACGCGTGCACCACATATCGCAGTCTGCCACTGTCAATGGCGTGCTCGTCGAGCTGTATAACCATGCAGGGCTCTCACATAGGATCAATTTGCCAAGTCAGCCACACTATCGCACAATACAATCCTTGATTGCGAACATGCTGCTATCGCCGAATAGCGGAGCCATGTGCTTCTCCGTGGGTCTAGTCGAAAATTTGCTCACCAAGAAAACATTTGCCGGCAAGAAGTCCAGAGGCCTACTCAACAGACCGTCCCGGCTTTTTGTTGATCCACATTTCGCCATAACCAAGGCCGAGAAGATATAAGAAAACGCTCGCCCACAATCAACCGTGTCAATCAGTCGACTGGGAATCACAAGATACAACAATGACTGAGTCGGATCCCTATCGTAAAGACCGCAAGTGGTATCACTGGTACCATCCTTCTGACACAAAAGCTGAACGCAAGCTGATTGCGAAACTGGACTTACTAATCGTAACCTATGCCTTTGTCACATATTGGGCCAAATATCTCGATCAGAGCAACATCAGTTAGTCAAGTATCTCCCTCTTGCATTAAAGATACTGATGAGACTTAGATAATGCATATGTATCTGGAATGTCGGATGATCTTCATTTCCACGGCAATGAGCTTGTACATTTTCAGATCATGTATAACCTTGGGGCTGTGCTGGGACAGTTGCCATTTGCGCTGCTATTCCCCAAGATTCGAATGAATATCCTGGTCCCAGCATTGGACATACTGTGGGGCGTATTCACTCTTCTCCAGTTTAGAGCGCAAGGGTACTCTGAGATTATGGCCTATCGGTTCTTCGTTGGCTTGTTCGAGGTAAGAGCCACCTGCATGTATCGAAAACGACGCCATAGATGCTGACATGCTTCAACAGAGCGCTTTCTTCCCAGCAGTGCACTATGTTCTTGGGAGTTGGTATCGTGGCGATGAGATCAACAGAAGAGGTGGTGTCTTCTACGTCGGTCTTACCTTGGGCACTCTAACGGCGAGTCTGATACAAAGCGCATGTTCTGCTCATCTTGATGGACTCCACGGCTTGGCTGGATGGCGTTGGATGTTCATCATCAATAGTGTCATCACTCTTCCACTTGGACTTGTAGGGTTCTGGGTTTGGCCTGGTACTCCGACACACTCAAAGTCTGTCTTCTTGTCGAGAGAAGAACTCGCTCTGGCCAAGGACCGTCTGGAGAGAGCAGGGCACACTCATGACACTAAGCCGGTGACCTGGGAATTGGCAAAGAAAGTCTTCTTCGGCTGGAAGCTCTGGGTGCTCGTCATCTGGGACATTTTCTTCTGGAATGCTTGCTTGAACGCGTCAACAGCTCCATATTTGCTATGGTTGAAGAGCCTGCACAAGTACTCGACGTCGCGCCTCAATGATCTCGGTGCAACATCGCCAGGTCTTGGCATCTTTTACGTTCTGTTCATTTGCTTTGGAGCAGATCTGCTCTTTGGACGTCCTTGGGCCATCACAATTGCACACTCTTGGAATCTGCTCGGTGTGGTCATTTTGTTAGTGTGGAATGTCCCAGAAGTGGCCAAGTTCTTTGCCTTTAATACCGCCTACTCCTCTGTCGCAATGTCTTCGGTGCTTTAGTAAGTCCACGGATTCGAACACCATACTGCCAGGGACACTGCTGACAAGCTGTAGCGGATGGGCGAACGACATATTGAAGCATGATGTGAATGAACGGTCGTTCACCTTGGTCGCGATGAATGCCATTTCTCAGTCCACGACGGTGTGGACTCCACTCATCTTCTGGAAGACTGTCGAGGCGCCGAGATATGTCAAAGGCTTCTCGTTCACAGCCGCTACAGCCATCTGTCTCATCGCCATGACATGGATTGTGCACTACTTCCATCAGAGACAGGAGTACGTCTTTTTCTCTCCGTCCATTATTTGCTTACTGACACCTTGCAGGAGAGAGCTCGCTGAGAAATATGCTGGCACCATCGCCTTGTCAAGCGACGAGAACGTCGACGCGACCGTGGAATACCAATCATCTAAGACTGGCGTGCACACACGAGTCGGAATATACGACGAGGGCAAACGGGTGTAGAACATAGTGTTAGTTTGCCTGGCCTTGGTGTTTGTATGACGCAGCGATTACAAGGCGACGGCCAAGGCAGTGGCAGAATCCTCCGCTCCCATGGTGGATCCTTGGCTGAACTATTGAGCTTGACGAGTCGTATACCAATCCGTTCAATTGAAGTTGCGTTGGAAAAGTCGACGAATGGAAACAGACAGAGCAGCAATTTACTTGTTGCCGTTGGCAGTATTGCGACAACGCCACCTCAGATAACGGTTAGACTTGCTTTGCGATTTCCATGCAGCGAGTTCTGCATGGCGCACTCGGGCGTCAGCGGCGGTGCTGCCTGTCAGCTCGGCCACACCGATCGCCAACTCTTCCACGAGGCATATTCAAGCATGCGGCGATGTCAATTCGGATGTCACGGCGAGCACTCTGTCGTCCATGGAATTTTGAGAGAAAAAATCTTCGTTTCCCGAGCACCGCCGCAAAGCCGTCAATAGCTTCCTGTGAGGCTCAACGTCGCAGGCAAAAGATATGGCGAGAGGCCGATTGGTTGAGCGATGGACCCCAAATCCACTTTCGACCCCACGATAGATCTTGCCAAGCTGAATTAGGTTCACGATCAGCCAGAGATGGCAGCGATCAGCTATCAGCTCCCACGCTAGCAGCAGTGGCAAGGCGGGAGAGCAGAAAGCAGGCAATGACAGTGGTTCCTTGGGACGGGAAGGTCATCTTGAGCTCGCGTGTTGTGGGAAGCACTGGCGCGAGTTTCCAAGACGCAGCTCTCGCTAGTACATAATGGAGGAGAAGAATTTTGCACATGTCATAACCGCTTCCGCCACGCTCTGGCATGCAGGAGGGGAGATAAAGTGCTTGTGTGACCCCGCTCTTGTTGATGCATCTTTTGTTGTTTTTTCCGCAATTCACTCGCGCCTACTGTTTTCGGTGTAGCTTATCTTATCGCCAGCTGAGTGACGCAGCAACAAACACACCATCAAGGTCGTTTCGTGCGCCCATTAATCCAACCAATTCCTCCAACAGCACGACGGCGACAATGGACGCTTTCCGGAGCTCCAAGCAGGCCGAGTCAATTCATGCGCAAGATGAGAAGAGCATTGGTCGCATGTCGTCAAACCAGGCCGAAGCCGAAGTAGGTCAAGCCACGGTCCCTGTCGCGCAAGAAGCTGGTCTCTCCTTCGGCAATATCCTCAAGGGAAACGCAGCCCATGCCCTCACGCCGTTCGAGAGAAAGGCGGCCCTTGTTAATGCTGAACTCGACAAGTTCGGCATGGGCAAGTACCAATGGTGCATTTGGTTTCTGTGCGGCTTCGGCTACTTCCTGGATCTCGCGTGGTCGCAGGGTGTCGGTCTCGCGGCAACTGCCATCTACCAGGAGATGGGTGTGCCCGATGCCAGAACCGGAGACATTTACTCTTTGGCAAACGCCGGGCTGGCCATTGGCGCCTTCAGCTTTGGTCTTCTGGTCGATGTGATTGGCCGCAAGTGGGCCTTCAACCTGACCTGTCTGATCACGTCCGTCTTTGGTCTGCTCTTGGTATGTCTCACCACTCAGTCAATCCTCCCACAGCAGCTAATTCACCTTCCAGGCAGCACCCAAGCACAACTACCACGCCATCTGCGGCATCTACTTCTTGGCCTCGCTTGGTCTCGGCGGCAACATCCCCATTGACGCCACCATCACTCTCGAGTTTCTTCCCCAGAACCGTCGTTTCCTCGTCGCATTGCTCTCGCTCTGGCAGCCCGTTGGTGTCGCCATCGCTTCTCTCCTCGCGTTCGGCACCACGGCCAGACCCAAGTGGCGTTGCGACCCCGACTTGCCTGCTTGCGGCAACGGCGTGACTCCCTGCTGCACCACGTCAAGCAACATGGGCTGGAGATACCTGTTCATCATCCTCGGCGGCATGACTCTCGTCATCTTCTTCCTCCGCTACTTCATCTTCACCTTCCAAGAGTCGCCCAAGTTCCTCGTCAGCAGAGGCAGAGATGCCGAGGCCATTGAGGTTCTCCACAAGATCGCCAGATTCAACAAGGCTCCCCCACCACTTCTGACTGTCGTCCATCTTGCTGCCATTGACGAGACGTATTCCATGTCGACCGACGCGATTGAGACGACTGGCCAGCCCCTCAGCACCATGCAAACGACCAAGAAGGTCTTGAAGAACACGGCCCACAGCTTCAAGCATCTCAAGGCCCTCTTTACCAACAAGCTCCAGATGTTCATCTTTGTCCTCCTGGCCGTCGCTTACATGGGCGACTACTGGTCCTTCAACCTTGCCGGTCAATTCTTGCCCATCATTCTTCTCCGCAACAATGTCAGCAGCGGAGCTACAACCGTCACCAAGACCTATGTCCAGTACATCGCCATCTACACGCCTGGTATCGCCGGTGCCATCATTGCTATGGCCTCAGTCCAGTTGCCTCTGGTCGGCAGAAAGTGGTCTCTGGTCTTTTCCGCCATCTGTCAGGGTCTTGCCATGGCCATGTACACTCAAGTCAACACCACTGCCGGTTATGTCGGTCTGAACGCTTTCGAGTACATTATGCAAACCTACTTCAACGCCGTCCTTTACGCTTCCGCTCCCGAGCTGTTTGATACGGCGTACCGTGGAAGTGCCAGTGGCATGCTGTCCTGCTTGGGTCGTATCGCTGGCATCGTCGCTCCCTTTGCCGGAGCAAGTCTTCTGGCCAGCCAGAGTTCCGGTATCCTATGGCTGGGTGCCGGTGGTATTTGGCTGTCTGCCCTGACCATGATTTTCCTGCCTGTCGAGATGAGAAACAGACAGATGTTCTAGAAGTGCTTCTTTTTGTCCGGGACGTCAATGCATTAGCTACGAACTCATAATACATTCTATTTTTTGCTCTACTTCGAGCTTCGTCGTCCGTTTCCATGAACAACTCAATGTCGCATCAAGCGGCGCAAGATGGTTTTGTGATCAACACAAGCGACACTAACCATGAAAGAATGGGTTTAATCAACTCTCGTAGGCGACTGTAGACTACTGTGATCTGTGCATGAAGCATCCCAAACACCTGTTCGGAACCTCATGCGGAGAAGCCGGACGATCTCCGCATCTTATTTGATCCCAGTCACTCATCATGCATGCGTTCCATACCGATTTATTGTGTCTTCAAGCCCGGCTATCACTTTAAGTCCACCGTTCATGGGATGATAGAGAGTGTGTGTGTATTTTCATGATGTCGTCAGTGTTCCCCTCGATCTGTGGCACCCTTTACGGGTTATTATCGTGACAAAAGCAGTCGGACAATAGAGTTGACGAACGCCAAAGCCTGTCAGTGAGTCTCAAGGTTCTGTACCCTACGGAAATCATCACAGCAATCCTATTGTACGAGGGTCTTATATCTTGGACGCATGTTGGATGCTGTCGCGTAATCGCGTACATACAGTTGAACGTCAGGGAATTTGATGTAGAGGTGAATCCGTGTTCAACAGTTGACATGTGATTGTTGGAAGAGACTGGGTATATCAAAAGTAGTGTCTAATACAAGTGCAAGTTTGGAAATTAACGAAACAATAACGCCCAACCGACTCCGCTCCCTGTGTTCTTTTTTTTTTTTACCTCGCCTTCCCTCCCGCTTTGGCCTGACTATATATCACCCCATGTACCTCAGTTGGCATAGAACTGGACATTGTCAAGGAACAAAAACTGGTTTCCTGTGGGATTACAGCTCATGACTAGGTTCAAGGTTTGCTTGGTCGCAGTGGGTGTGACCTTAGCAGAGGTGTAGGCATAATGGTAGCCGTTGTAACCGTCGACCAATTTGGCAGTCGTCAAAAGGGTGGAGTCCAAGTATGCTTGGATGTTGCAATTGGGGGTGTTGTATGTTTGTGCAGCATTGTAGAAGCTCAACGTGTACGAGGCACCGGGCTTGAGGTTGGTCAGAGGTTGGCTTACGGTGGATGAGGATTGACCGAATTCGACGATTCTGTCGTCTTGTTAATTTTGTCTGATTTGTAACAAAGGCTTTAGAGGTGTCTTACAAGTAGCCGCTTCCTGCTTGGGCTGCTGGCTGGTATGACCAGCTACGACAGCCTTGGCCCGAACAGGACCAGGATGTCTGACCGTTCTCGAATGAGGGGTTCTGGATGATATTGAGGCCTACAACGGGTGTTGGAATTGGTGCCAGGTCGAGGGTTGTGGTCGTGGTTGTCTGGACGATAAGAGTGGTAGGGATGGTTTGAGTAAGACTTTGCACTTGGGTTGTGACGATGGTAGTGTAAGGCGTCGCGGCAGTCTCGGTGGCAGTTGCCGTGTTTGTACCGGTAGCGACGGCCGAGCAAGCAGCCGAGATACGCGATGGAGACCATGTCGAAAGAGATGCAGGGGTCTGTATGTCTCTTCTCAATTGGCGGGTCAAAGTTGCTGTTTGAACGCTGGTCTGTAGCTCAGTACTGTAGATAGTATCGGTCTGGAGACTGATCTGAGTCGAGAGCACAGTGGAGACTGCGGGAGTGACGGTTTGAGTAGACACGGTCGTCGTAGGGGGAGTATAGGCGATGTAAGCCGAGCAGAAGGCAGCACCACTAGCGCTGAGATATGGCACATCTGAAGGACAGCTGACATCACCTGAGATCGTTGCGTTGGAGGAGATATAACTCAGACCAATGGTGTAGTGGTCCTGTCCGCGCCATTGCCCTGCGTTCTTCGCGTAGCTGGCGCCCCAAGCTTGAGTGTACATGGAGCTGCAGTCGGTTAGTCACGACAAGTATACATCAAATCTTGGTTCAGCACATACCAGTATTGACCTTGATAGTCCCCGTTCTTGTACATGGCATACGTGTTATAGAATTGGCATGTCTTGGGGGCTCCGTTAGAAGGAGGATGACGAACGTTATACAAACTCTGGGCAGTACACGCTGCGGCACAAAGCGTAGTATCGAAGGGGCCCGAGGTGAAGAACTTGGCTCCCAGGAAGGTATCAGACTTTTGACAGTTGAGAGGGGCACTCATGGCTGCATCGTTGATTTGAATGTTGGCGGTGTATCCAGGATAAGTCTGAATCAGGACATCGCGACGAAAGAGAGCCGTGTCACGCTTCTGAGGCAGAGGACTAGCTTGCACCTCGCTGATAACAGCGTCTACGGCAGCCTGTTGGTTGTAGTTGCTGGAAATCTGTTGGACGCGGTTGGCCTCGCTGGCCAGAGGCTACACATCCGAGGCACAGTTCATGTTTCGAGTGTTCTTCGCACATTCCCGACACGATCGACGATCGCACGACCGGGGTAGACTCCTGCCGTGTACGGTAATTTGAGATTGACAGGGGAACCAGACCGCGATCAGACCTCGTGTCCTGCTCTTCGGTATCAGGCTTGGTCCTGAGATTCAGCTGAACGATGTCACTGCGCTTGTTCCATTATGACTCCAGCAGACCATCAAAGATGAAATAAGTACTGACAGGGAACGTGACAGAGACGAAGTACAGGTCGACCATAGTAGAGGTGGATCTGATGATCGCACCTGCTGGACCAAATGCTTCTCGGCTGGGCATTGTAGCGTTGACCCTGCTGCATTTTTGAGCACTCATGTAGAGATATCAAACTTACTGTAGCCTGTTATGAGGGGTCTGTAGTGTAGACGGACGACCAATAATTCACTGAGATGCCCTGAATGCGACTTCGAGACAAAATTAGAGTTAAACGTGACCGTATCGATAAGAGCGAAGCTGAAGGAAAATTTTCCCAAGCGTCAAACGCTCGCGGAACGAAGAAGCAGACAAGACATCCAGCCCTTGTCTTGTTGAACAAGCGAGACTTGTCATGCGATTCCAGCGTCTCATGGCACAGACTCGCAGCTGAGAACGTTCGTGGTCGCTTGCAACAATAGAGACATCGTGCTTTGCATCGCACGGAGCAACAAGCTCAGCTCGAGTTTCATCGAATTAGCCAATCTCGGTCGCGACGAAGTGCCAGGGACGTTGAGCGATAGTTATGGGATGCGGACAAGGCAGAGCCGAAGTTTCGCAAAAAAGTCGATTGACGTTCACCCTCGAAGGCACATCTCTTCCCGCATTTTGGGGCACACGCGCAGTGGGTATCGTGACGATCAGAATCATCTCGCGTGCTGTGTGATGGCGGCACAGTAGATGGTCGAGGATCTAGCCGGTTTGTCGAGCTACCGTCAACAGCCGTCGATTCTGGCTGTGCGGATGAGCCTGGAGATCTCCGCATCTTATCTGATCCTGATGGGATTACCCTGCTCCTGAGTACTACTTGCTCACTCGACTCATGTAGTCTATCTTTCCATCCTCCATTCCGCTGATATGGCCTCCAAAAGTTCTGCCCATCACTTCGAATGAGGCCTCATCATGCACTTTCTCTCAGCATCCGGTGCGTTGATTACATGTTGAACACAAATCATCAGTGTCTGAGACTTTGTGATTTTCACAGCGGACGTCAAAACCAATGATACCACATGGGTTGTCTAATGCCATGCCGACAAGATCTCTTACCGAGTCTAGTCGTCTACAAACACACGTTCCTTTCGGCACCTCACTGACAATCTCATCATGGTAGACGAAATCAGATGATCAATGTGGTTCTCGGCAATAGGGAAAGCTTATTCAACTCGGGCTTTGGCGGCATCTATCAAGGTTTGAGCGACTCGACAATAACGGTTGCTCGCCCGTGCAATTGCCCTCTCAGAGCCTAGGACCTTGCGTTCTTTTGATCAAAGTGTTCATAGCCTTGATACCTGTCTCTGCAATCTCGACATCTTGCTCTGCAGTGCCACTACTCACACCCATGGCACCGACCACAACGCCATCAATCACGATGGGCACGCCGCCAGTCAATGTGCAGAATCTGCCGCCATTGGTGTATTGTATGCCGAAACCCATGCCACCGGGGAAGAACGTGGGGGTGTTGTAATTAGAGGTCGGTACGCGATGGCCAGCTGCTGTAAAAGCCTTGTTGATGGCTATGTCGACGGAAGTGAGCTTTGCGTTTGTCATGCGGGCAAAGTGAAGCAGCTGGAGTGTCGAGTCGACGATTGCAATGTTGACATCTGTTGGGTCCGAAGGTCAATCACGACTCTCTATATGCTTTCTGTAGATGGAAGCAAATTCCATACCGACGCCAATTTCTTCTGCTTTCTGCTGCGAAGCTTCAGATGCTACCTTCGCGGCGTCGAGTGAGAGAATGGGTAACAGTCTTGTGGCGGCCATCTTGTCGGATTATCACTGTTCTAGTGACGGTCAGCGGGTGCTGTCGAATTGCAAGAGCGATGGAGAAGAGAGACCGTGATCTTTACCATGGCTGTGGCAATGCACTGGCCCGTAAGAACGGGATCGGGTTCAGATCGGCTTTTGCACAAATTTCAGACACACGAATCAACAAACAGCTATCGGAATCTTGTGTTTGTTTCTTTACAGGATGTACTGAGTAACACTGTAAAGTATTATGCTATATGATAAGTTACGGCTGACTAAGATCTTACCTAGAAGTGAGATAGCATCGGCCGCTGATATTTGCTCTTGGTCTAATCTATCATACTGGATGTTACATGTAGGCAAAGGTGTTCTGCAATTAGGCCAGCTAAGTGCCTCCACTGCGAGTCCGGAGCTGATACCGCAAGAATATGCTGATCAGGTCTTACTACAATTGCACTCCCGCGCTTCAGTCCTGTTGCCTCGAGCCAGTCTCTGCCTTCCTCATCATCTTGCACGACAAAATCTCTGTGCAAAACCACGAGATTTATCGGCACCTGAACAGGTCCAATCTCTTTCAAATCACTGGCTTGGATTCTGTTGTCAGGCCCAACAAGGACCGTGAACGCGTTACAAGCGCAAAGATCGAGTGAAGAATACTTCCGCCTTGACCTGTCTGCTGCACTCATCTCTGAAACATACGACAAGTCGACAGGCGAAGGCAGGAATCTGCGAAACGCGTCTGATGGCTCCACCCAGACGTGAGGCAATCGGGCACCAGGAACAAACTTGGGCGCATAATTGGATGCATGGGGTGGGACGCGTTTGGAGCCGTACACATAGCCGATGTGAAGCTCAAGCTGCTCACGTTAGTGACACATCGCTCGCGCCAAGGGATGAAAGATTTACATTATCAAAGTGCTCTTGCTGCTCTTGGATACCCTTATCAATGGAAGTCCTCTGTTCAGCTGATCTGAGGGATTCTGAAAGGTTCTGTCTTGCCCGGTTAACATCGGGATCGGTGGCTCCTGATACTTTGAGGAGCGAGAAAATCTTCTTGCCGTTCTTCACGCTTTGCTGAGAGTTGATGTTGGCAACCTGGTGTCTCTCGGTACCGTAGCTGTCAAGAAGTTGGTCATTGGCCCAGCCTTGTTGAACTGCAGCAATCTTGTATGCAAGGTTGTGAACATCGCCAAGACCAGAATTGAGTCCAAGGCCACCAGTCGGAGGGAACGAGTGAGCGGCATCTCCAGCCCTACTAGAGATCAGCGATCAATCCTCGGGGCGAGGTCGCTCAGCGATAGACTGATGCTAGCGATCATCATGAACGCAAGACAAAACCGCAGACTTACAGGAACACCCTACCGCTGCGGTACTCACGAGCGACTTTACAACTGAGAACCCAGGGTCGGAAACTCAACACCTCATACGATGTCCTCTGGCCAATAGCGCAATCGAGGACTTCCCGACAGAGACTCTTGCTCCAGGACTCCACAGGATGCTTTGTAGACTGCGAACACGGTAAGTATGGTCATTGGTCAATGATGGATGGCAGCTTCGGAGGCATACGTCGAAATTACAGATCAGAACTTGATTTTGGGACAAATCATAGGCAATTACGAAGCCAGACACAAGAGGATCCATCACCCAGTGAAGCATTCCGACCCGGTCCTGGCTAACAATGGGCCGCAAGTCCGCGTTGAAATGGATCGTCATCATCGTCTCATCTTGTCGGACTTAGTCAATATCATTGGGTCACAGTCTTTGTTCCACTCACAGGATTCTTCGCCATCGCATTCAATTCCCAGATAAGAACGGACGGGACTTCGCGCTCCGTCACAAGCTATGAGATGCTGCGACTTGACTTCAAAAGTCTTGCTACTGTTCATGTCTTTAACAGTTGTTATGACATGGGTAGCGTCTTGATGACATGACAGAAAACTGGCGCTCCTGATGATCTCCACGTCGTCTGGCAGGTGATGGTGAACGAAGTCCTCGAATGTGGGCTGTGGGATGTTGTGAATCATCTGTAGAGCGATGTTAGACCTGGTTGTGTTGTGTGATGACCGACGAGGCTCAGACCTCTGGTGTGTGTTTCAATACGCCGACATCCATTCGCTCATACGGCAGCCTTCCAATGTGTTCGCCACTCAAGTTCGTGATGAAATTTACCCAATAAGCTTCTGATCGTGGCGTACCCAGGTTTCTGATATCATTGGTATCGAGACCGAACTGGCGGCATATCTCAAGCGATCTTGGAGAAAGAGCGTGGGCTTTCGGAGCAGCTAATCGTTGAGGGTACCTCTCGATGATCGTGCATTTGACTGTAAACAGTAAGCAAACACTGCTATTGACTTGCTACAAGTGAAGACATACCTCCAAGCCGAGAGAGAAGATAAGCTTGGAGTAGACCGGTTGGTCCTGCACCGACGATCAACACAGACGTCTCGATCAGCGCAGACCGAGACAAAGCAGGAGCGTCATGTGATCCATTTTTTGGCATCTCAGACTCAAGTTCTTGTGCCGAAGGCTGTGCTTGCGGGTCTTCCAAACGCGCAATCATGTTGAAGTACGCTCGTGGGTATCAGAGTACGGTCAGTGCGAAGTCAGGATCCAGGGAGTGTCTTGCTTTAATCAATGCATGGGTACGAATTCATCCGTTATTCCAAGTTCTGCGCCGAGACAGATTCTGGTCAAGTTGCAATCGTTGTGGAGATCTCTCGCGTTTTGCTGTGGTTTCCTCTGTCTCCACAATGCGGGATGGGCCACCCTCGGCGCCCCACAAGCTTGCTTCGTACCCATCGTTTCCAATTTGCGATCGAGCAATGATTTTTTTTTTCTTGTCCAACCACAGTCTCCACCATGTCAAGCTCGGCACCTGACGCAACAACACCTGGACTGATAGCACAAAGCGTCGTTGATCACGCGGGTCTAAGCCCCGCGGGATCTGCCAGAGGCAGTTTGGGGCGCGCTCAAAGCTATGCTGCCGGACGCAAGCGATCGGATCTCTCGTGTTGCTATTGTCAGCGCCTCTTTTCTAAGCCTGAACATCTGAAGGTCTGCCAGGAAAAGTTCTCCTGTCATTCACCATGTTGACAACAAATAGCGGCATGAGGACACACACAAAGGAAAAAGGCAGCATAATTGCAAGCTCTGTCATAAAACCTTTGGACGTCCAGACTCTCTTAAACGACATGAGAAGACACATGTTAGACGACTCAGTCATATATCATTCGATGAGATGTCTTTCATCGGTGAAAGCTCTGAAACGATTGATCTGTCAGCTTCTATGAAACTGAACGCACAGCCCGTGAACGTTAGCGAGATCAGCCTATCTGATCGTGCCGCCTCAGTATCACAGCAAGAATTTCAAGTCGGAGATGAGGCTATTCAGAGCGAGGACCTAATACCTTTCCCAGTTGAATATGCTTGGCCTGGAGCCGCGGACATTCTGGAGATCTTGATGAATGCTGATGCTGGCTGGCCTATGGACGTCCAGATGCCACTGCTCGACATGAATGGCACGGGAACTTTTGATACGTGCCATAATCAATCCGGCACTGGTGAGGGCTCTTTTGCAAGAGCTCGACAAGCCATGCAGCACATGAGTAACCTCATGCAAGATCTCGTGAGTGAAGACGATGGAGTGTGTACTATCGGCTGTGATTCTGACTCATCATCATCAGTCCTTCAATCTTGCAACGGAAGTCGAGTCTGCTGGAATTTCCTCTGAATATCTGGATGTTTGCATGAATGCCTTCTTCGAGAGATTTGTCATAATATTCCCAGTCGTTCACCAACCAACTTTTTCCCTCAAGGACTGTGCCAGCCCACTTCTCTTGAACATGATCGTCCTCGGCTCACTATTTTGTGCGACTAATGAGACATCAAACAAGGTCGGCTACAGCAATGTGGATAAAGCCAAATACTGACAGTCAGCAGGCAGAAGTCTTGTGGCGGCTGGCTCACGCCGCTGTTGCGACATCAGTCAGTCCTACACATCTGATTGAGGGTTTTCGTGCTAATGGGAGACAGTGGCAAAGTATGCTTGACCAAGTAAACAGCGTGGACATGAAGACGGGCGTTCAGCTCGTGATGACCGCTCTTCTCGGTCAAACCCATGCTTTTCTTTCGCAAGTATGGCATTTTCCAATTTGAGTCATGCATTTCAGTCACTAAGCATTTTCAGAGCCGGTCGACTCGGAACACCAGCCATACTTTCCACGGGCTCGGCTTCTATTGGGCAAGACAATGCGAAATGTCTGTTTCGCAATCATTTTCCGATGTGCCGACCATTAGCAGCTCGTCAGCGCTAAAACGCCGGAAGTGGGAAGCTTGGGCAGCTCAAGAGACCCGACATAGAGCTCTTCTTGGCCACTATATCCTGGACGGACTCATATCGCAGTTTTCTGGCCTCCCAACGAGTGACAGACATGTTACTAACGCCATGATTCTTCCCAGTAGTGGTATTGCTTATGAGGCTCTATCAGCTGATGGTTGGATTCAAGCCATGGAACAGAATCCACAGTCCTCGATGACATTTCGCCAGATCTACCTGGATCTGTTTGACTCTAATATCGGTTTCAACTATGAACTGTCGTATTTTTCCGTTCGGGTCGTCCTTGAGGGATTGCAGTCTTTGATCTCGGATCACCGTCAAGCCCAAGGTGACTTCGTTGGCGCAAAAGACCTCCGCGCTATCGACGGCGCGCTATGGCGCCTTCTAGACACACAGATTGAGGGGCCCGTACACTCATCCCATGAAAAGCTTGATCTCCTGATTCGCTGGCATGCGATATGTATAGAGCGGTGTGTCAACACGAACATACTAGCCCGCCACTTGTGCGAGAGCTATACTATCGAACAAGACCTGTATAACAACAAATCCTGCTCGGACTTCGACACACTGGCCTGGGCTGAAACCATCGAAGCTCGTCGAGCCATTCTGCACGCTTCAGCCATAGCTGATCTGGTTATGAATCTATCATTGCGTAGAGTGCCGTCGATACACATCCCTTTCGCCGTGGCTACATCCAGCAGCATCTTCTTGGCGATGCTCTCATGCGGGTATACAGGCGCAGGCGTACCGAGTGTGATCCATTGGAGATCGGTATGCTTGTATGACACGAACACTCGCGTCGATTTGGCAGCGAGTCGTCCTGTTGACATATTCCTTGACCTCTCGCACAACATTTGGAACCCTGCCACCAGCTCCCGGAATTTCTTGTACAATTTGAATTCACTACAAGCAGTGCTTGGATCGCTTTCTCTGACATGGGGTATCGCGAAGGAAATGAATGTTCTAATACATCGATTGATATGCTCTATGATCTAAGCACAACTGCTAATGCCTCACGAGTCTCTCAGTTAGACATCAAAAAGATATTGAGCTTCGCCAGGTGTCAATTCCAACACTCTTGACTTCGTCTTACTCTCTACCATGCTGGTGGCTGCCCGAGTGTCGATCCTCCAAGGTTTGATGGGAGCTTCATCATGCAGACACCAGATGATCTGCTGGGGTTGGCCAAGAAGCTCACTAATCATTGTCGCAGCTTCTGCCGCGCTTCCGTCGTAGGGTCGCCCGTCAATATTCGCACGACCAGCAATCGCCTGGATAAGAACGTCTTTGAAAGTCAGCGATAGATGACCTGGAGTGGGAGAAAGTCAAACCTGGCTTAGGCTCGAGGCGTTCTAGAATTCCCCGATAAGCTCCTAGATGCGCGCTCCAAAGCAAAGTTTTTTCTCCAATCAAAAACGAAAACATAATCTGTCCGCCATCGAAATTACTCATGATGTTGACGTCCCGCTTTGAAACGTAGTCGGCGAAAGATCTCTCTCCTTGATCAAGGTTTTCAGGCGAGACAAGCTCGCTAAGCCGCAGCAAACCATAACGCATGCCTATAGTGATGTCGATTGTACATGCGTAGGGACTGCTTCCCTCATATCTTGTGGCCGTGTTCATCTCATCCGGGATATCGGCGTGGCTAGACATGGTCAATGTTCAAGGCCTCTGATGGGTGATACGATGAATAGATTTACCTTTTACCTGGCAACACACAGTGCAGACTCGGCCACTGCGATTTGTCAGGATTTAGCTTACAAGACTTTCGTGGAATACTGACCGCATGTACAGCCATCGTGGCGAGAGAGTCTTCTGGGCGTCTAGGTGCGCCAGGCGGTCCGGGTGCAGTCGCGACCTCGTCCTCAAGAGCAGCGAGGCGGGTAGCTTTAGTAAATAACGGTATGCGCTCGCCTCCAGCCACTGGGATGAGTTGGTCCTCGCTAACACCAGCCTCTCTGAGAGTATTGATCGCTTCTCCGTTCGCAATGACGATCGCCCCTGTCTGCTTGGCAAGTCTATCACACCCTGGAAGATGATCAAAATGTGCGTGGGAGATGAAGATGTAGTCTGCCTCGGTCACTTGATCAATGGACAGATAGTGAGGAAGCACATCAGGCTTTTCCAACCACGTGTCCAAAAAGATTGTCAGGCCCCGAGTCTTCAGCCTGAACGTTGTTGCGCCTGTCAGAGCAAGTCAGCAGGAGACGACAGCGAAAGACATGTCTCTGCCTCACCGAACCACTCAAGAGTAGTACCACTCATAGTTTCGATCGATGCTGAGGCTCTTCTTGGATCTTGGAAAAACGACAGTCAAGAGTACTGATACTGTACCTAGAAAGCAGGCCTGCGTTGATGACAGAACTCGTTGCAATTGCCAGCTGTCCTGGATCGTCCTATTCGATCCTCTCCGCGAAAATGAGTCTCCACACTTCAATCTCCACACCCCGCACGATCCCCTCAAATTTCGCAAGCCACCCGACGGGCCTTCGCTCTAGCGATGTGCGTACGCGTAGTGAGCTTGAAGATGATACATCATTGGAGCATGTCTCCATTCCAAGAGTCGATGTGTCAAACATCAGCCAGAACACCTTCCCACTAGCCATGGATCCACAGAAGGATTCAGTGACCATGCATATCGAGCTCCAAAATACACCCGTTGAGCAGACCACGACTCCGGACTTTGCAGATTGTGGTTCTGAAGACTACTCTGTTGGCTTCAAGACCTATTTTGCCATATTCTCTTTGGCTTTGGCCAACTGTTGTGCTACTCTGTCAAATACAACAAACACTATCATCAAGTTCCAGGTCATGAGTGTCGGCGGATCAGCTGTGGCAAGTTGGATAGCAAACTCCAATTTTCTCCTCACTCTTGCCTGTGGACCCATCTTCGGCTCGTTGACTGACAGAATGGGTAAAAAATGGTTCATAGTCGGAGGCTGTGCCATTGGCGTCGTGGGCTCATTCATCTCGTCTTCTGCAACCCAAGTTTACACCATCATTGGCGGCAACATCTTGACTGGTATAGCTGTAAGTTTCTTAGTCATCTCTGACTTTGAATTATATGTGCTGAATGATCTGTAGAACGCAGGATGTATCGTATCCATCGCCGCCAATCAGGAGATCACTCCGAACAAGTTCCGACCCTACGCATTCGGGTTTGCAGTATGTTCATCATTGAGCAATTGTCTGCGACAATCTAACGAAGATTAGCAAACAGTCAACAGTATCGCTGCGATCGCAGGTACCTTCGGTGCTGCCGCCTTTGTGAAGTACGCGAGCTGGAACTGGAGTTATCGTCTCAATGTCAGTAGCCAAGTCATGTTGGTAGATAATCCTCTGACTGTACACTCAGGGAATTGTGTACGGCGTTTCCGGTCTCTCTGTACTTCTGTCCTACAAGCCCCCTCCACCAGCTATACGACGCGCTGGAGAACTTCGCGAGATTCTGCTTGCGGTCGATTATCTTGGTATCCTCTTGTTAGCAGGATCCCTGGCAAGCAGTAAGTCATATTATCCATGTTCGATTGACTACAGCTGCTAAGATCAACAGTAACAATGGCTCTCACCTGGGGAGGCAGCACGTACGCTTGGAACTCTGGTGTGATCATTGGCACTCTCGTGGCTGGCAGTGTTGGCCTGGTCATCTTCGGATTATTTGAGCACAGACTCAAGACAACAAATGGTATCCTTGACCACCGCCTCTTTGAGAACATGAATTTCCCAATTCTCTGCTTTGTCTGCCTGGTCGACGGCATGCTTCTGCTGGGGATTAACGTTCTTTATGCACAAGAGATCGCCGACTTGTTCTCCAAAGACGCGCTGAGGATCGCCGTCATACTCACCCCATACTTGATCACCTCGACCGTGGGTTGTCTGCCCGCTGGTTGGATCATGGGAAAGACTCATTCCTATCGAATCTTGCTCATCGGAGCTCTCCTCTGGTGTTCTCTGTTCACGGGACTGATGGGTCTTATTGATTCTTCGAGACTGAAGATGGCTCTCGCATTTTCGGCACTTTTCGGGTTGGGCACAGCAGTCACCACCGTCATTCCGAGTATGTGTCCGTGTCACGTGTATATATCTGATCTGGCTAACTAAGATTCCAGTCGTTGCTCTGGGGTTATCCATTCCTTCATTCTTGCTTGGCACTGCAGGAACACTAAGTATCTCCTTCCGCGCTTTGGGAGGCATCGTCGGCATCACGATCTTTACAGCTATCTACGACAATAAGATCGCAGTGAATCGTCCTAGAGAGGTTTCCGATGTGGTACTTGGCGCCGGCCTGAGCACGGATACGCTTCAAAAGGTTCTTAAAGCGCTTTCGGGGAACGTGCCACCAGCCGTATCACTTAGTGCCATATCAGCTCTGCCTGCCAAGCTCATAACTCCTATCGTCAACGCCTCACTCAAAGCCTCAGCCGAGTCTTGGACGTACGTCTGGGTGGCCATTGCGTGAGTGATGTCTTGCACATAGACTAGTGTTGTCCGGGACTAACCTGCTTACTAGTTGCATCACTTTCGCCAATGCTGTAGCATGCTGTTTCTTGAAATCGGTCAAGTCCAACATGACCGCACACGTAGAGTCGGCTCTTGAGCGCAGCACGACCCGCGACACTCAAATGAGTAAGAAGCTGAAGATTGCGATTTGAGGGCAAGTGCTACGATCTTGACCCTTTCTGACACACTAGATCAATATCTCACTTGGGATCTCACAAAGCTTCAGAACCGAGTCGTATTTGTATATTTACGTAGTCGATTGGAAATATGCACCCACAGAAAGTCATTCACACCGTAGTTCGTGACGTGCTCGACTCGTGTGACAATGGGACGTGAGAGGCGCTGCCATCCTCAGATCAAGACCACGCTGTCTTCTCTTCCCCTTCTCATCCTCTCGGATATTGTCTAGCTAAGTTTGCAGCGGTTTGAAGTACTTACAGGACCTTCGGATTATACTGCCAGAATCTTGGAGCGCTGACTGAACCGCGCCTGTTGTCACAATCGTAACCAAATACTATCTAGAACGATCGCGAAGATGAGTTCAAACATCTACAAATCTGTCATTTGATAATCATGCCTATTCAATGGAGCATAAAAAGGAATTACTAGTCTACGTATACAGCTTCGCCGCTTCCTCTATATCTCTGGTGCAGTCGACATACTTACCTCTGAGCTTTGCTCCCTTTCCCGAAGCCAAATATACGCACGTCCAGGCTGGTAATGAGATGTCGAACTTCGGTCTCTTCTTGTCTAGCTCCTTCATATGCTCAATGATATATGGCGCACTCCTATGAGTTTGCTCAGGGAAGCCTGTGGTGTGAAGCGATGTTTCAATCTCTCCCGGATGGATGCTGAATAGGGATATTCCTAGATCTGAGATCAGCGGACATCCATGTCTGAGGGGCGCCAACCAATCAAGGTGAATATGACGCTTTCGTACCATTCTCAGAGCCGGATTCGATTCTAGCCATCTCGTCAAGTTCGACCTGCAGAACTGCAGCGAATCTGGTGATCCCTGTCTTGCCGGCGCCGTAGCTGTTCTGAGATCAGGGATGTGGAAGCTGTGAGCATGGGTGAACCTACGCGGTAGTCCAGGGAAGATCCTAAAGCTAATCAGTCTGGTATGATAAGTTGAGTATTCGTCGGACTCACTGCAACTGCTGCTCTTGAGGATGTGTAGATGATCGTGCCAGAGTTACGCTTTCGCATTTGTCTGGAAGAGGGTTCAGCAGGAGCTTAATGGGTCTCATGAGATCTGCAACTCACGGAAGCACCAGCCTAGTCAACTCAGTGGGAGATTTCAAGTTGATTTCTAACGAGTACCACCTGTGGCAAAGTCAGTATCCGAACACGCTCATGTAAAGTGCACATTTTACCAGTCCTTGGGATCGGTCATGGTGAATGGCATGAATGCTATCAAACGGTCAATGGGAATTTTCGTGTCGCGATCAACGAGGACCTACTGTTCGTGCCAGCATTGCACACCAATACGTCTATCATACCTAGCTCTTCGTTCACCTTCAATTGGTGAGCCTTCGAAGCGTCCAAGTTGACGACATGCAATCTACCTTTGCAACCAACATCTCCATATCGCTATGCTTGCAGCCGTCGGCAACAATACCGACTGCCTTAATGTCAGGACAGCAAGCTTTGATTTCCTCGCAGCTTGCTTCGACCTCAGCAGCATTCCTTGCTGTGACAGCTTTATCCAGTCAGCTACATCGATCAAGAGACGCATGATGCAATAGGGTATTTTACCAACGTGATACCCTGATCTGGCGAAACTACGAGCAATTTCCTTGCCAATCCCACGTCCAGATCCAGTCACCAGACATACTCTTCCGCAACCTGTGTTGTGGAATTGGCCAGGCTTGATGGCAGGGTAATTGAGCGCGCTCTGCCGAAGCGTGAGCTTCGATAATGCTGGAGGTGCCGCTGCATTCCCTGGAGGTGCCATGTCGTATCCGTGTCAGAGTGCTATCGCTGCCCACGACGTGAATTGAGTCTGTACTTGTGTTCACAGTACAGGCGTTGCCGCAAGCGCCTTCACTCGCCGGGTGGGGACGTCACCATCTCCACAGCAACTCCTCTCCACTACGGAGACCAGCGTCCCATCCCCTTTGTGGAGACTCACGCTGGCTGGTGCGCCGGTGCCCCGCAAATTGCGGCACCATGTTTGACCGAGGCCTGCATCGACTATTAGATTTGTGATCGGATCACACAAAGGACAGAGTAGCCCTTGCAAGTCCCAGATCCCGATTTGAAGAATCATAACGCTTCTCCAGATTGCACTTTCGCTGTTATCACTCGTTGAGCCTCTTGAACACTGGGTCGCTGCTGCCCCGATGGACGAAGCTGAAAGAGAGATCGGGTCAGCCAAGATACCGCAATTGTTTCCGGATGCAGTGTACCACAAGCTCACGCCTGCGCCTGAACATCCACTGTTCAATTACAACGGGTTTCACCCGGGCCTTACTTTACTCGAGAAGGGCCACATCAAATCCCGCGGATATCGAGCATTTATGCGAGATGTCGTTTACGAAAGAGATATGGCCATACAGGTCCGTGACGGGGCAAAGCTTTACGCCGATGTGTTTCGGCCTGCAGACTCGGAGCAGAACCATGTGCCAGTCATCATACCGTGGAGCCCCTACGGTAAGACTGGCACAGGTCCACAAAATTACGACTTCATGGCACCTTATCGTGCAGGCATCGCTAAAGACCGCACTTCTGGTTATGAGAAATTTGAGGTAAGCCTAGGTGTGCGCCGTGTGGAGACTGCAATGGCTGACATGTACATCTATGGAAGGCTCCAGATCCAGCCGAGTGGTGTGAGCGAGGCTATGCAGTACTCAATATCGATGCTCGAGGATCTGGTGTCTCTGAGGGAGATTTGGCCCACTGGGGTTTACAAGAAGCGGAGGATATCTACGATGTGATCGAATTCATTTCCAAGCAGCCATGGTGCTCTGGATCTGTTTGTATGGCGTGAGTAGCGGTGGTATTCCGTGTCTTGTGTTTTGCTAATGTCGACTAGTGGTAACTCATGGCTGTCGATGGCGCAAGTGAATTTTGTTTCAAGGCTTTCACATCCTGCATTGAAGGCGATCGCTCCTTGGGAATCCCAGACAGATTGTTACAGGCACTTCGTCGCCCGCGGAGGTAGACCACACATCAAGAAGTTTCATGAGATGATCAAGAGTGGTTTCGCTGGTAAGCATCTAGCTCGATCCAAGATCTCTCGCTGACAGCGCGCGCACCTTAGGACCTGGGAATGCAGAACTCGTCGCCCCGATGATCTACAAGAGACCTCTCTACGATGCGTACTGGGAAGCTAAACGCTTTCCTGTAGAGAACATCGACAACATTCCGATGTATCTTACCGCATCCTATTCGTGAGTCCCATCAACTGAGTTGGATGCTATGGCTGATGATAGCGCAGGTCGATGTTACACACGCACGGCTCCTTTGGAACTTTCAGAGATGCAAAAACAACGCAAAAGTGGCTTCGTGTTCATCCTTACCAAGAATGTATGCGTGACCCTTCCTGTGGCCGCTCGGAGCTAATGACTCAGGGTACGATATCTATAGGCCCGAGATTAATGACGAGCTGCAGAGATTCTTCGATCGCTACTGCAAAAATGTTCATAACGGCTGGGAATACGATACTCCTCCACTAAGATTGTCTCTACTCGGCTTCGAAGACGATGGTAGTACCGCTCGAACCGTGGTGGAACGACCGGAGGAAGCATGGCCTCTTGCACGAGAGAAACAGATGTATCTCTTCCTTAATGCTTCTGATATGACAATGATGATTGAGCCAGTGCCCGAGGCTTCCTCAATCAGCTACGATGGACACAGTCTGGACAGCTCCGCGGTACGTGAAGGCTGTTTTTGCAAATCAGGATTTGGATACTCATCGATGTATAGGACTTTCGATTTTTCTTCCCAGAAGACACGGAGTTAGCCGGATATTCCAAGCTTGTTTTACACGTATCCTGCAACGAACATGACGAGATGGACGTCGTCTGCCAGATACGGAAGATCGATGCTAGCGGACGTCCTCTGCAACACCTCAACTATCCAGTCCCAGTGGCCATCGAGGAGATTGATGATTTCAATACTGCAAAGACGCTCGGTCCCCAAGGTTTCCTTCGTGCATCCCATGCGGTCACTTTGGATGAAGGCAAGTCGCGTGGTAATGACCTCTTCTACACGCATGATCGTCAACAAGCTATTCCGCCTGGTGAGATTACGCTGTTGGAGATCCCATTATGGCCCATCGGCATGGTGTTTGCTAAAGGAGAAGGAATAATGCTCCGAGTGAGCGGCCATGACATGTCCCTCCCTGAGACAGGTCTTTGTATTCTGGATGAACCCGAGGACGAGAATGTCGGAAAGCACGTGATACACACTGGCGGTACGTATCGTAGTGTCTTGTGTATACCTACAATATGAACATTGAACCCATGCCGATCTGATGAGAATGTCATTTTGACTCATGCAAGTTCTAACCCTGATATGCCCCAGTCATTTCCCTTGAATGATAGCTTGAAGCTTAGCTTCATGATCCCGGCAGACTAGGTCGCTGATACTGCTAAGGAAGCCTTTCAAAAGATGTCAGCACAAGAGTACCTGAGGATCATTCCAAATCCGAAGTTGAACATCACTTAGTCAAAGCTCAGAGCTTGTCGATCTTCTTCAAATCCTTGGCAATTGCATCAATTGGCGAAGGGCAAGCTCTTCTCTGGAATCAGGAAGATGACCTAAGACTTTGTTGTTGCGACTCAACTGGGTATACATTAATGTGTTCTTTTTTTTTTTTGGATGTACGCAACCGACTTACGCTCCTGCATGGGAAAGCTGGTATAGTGAGCTGGATCGGCGAAGTCCTCGATAAGTAATGATCAATGTGGGCAAGAAGTGAGGGCCTCCTTTCTCTAGAACACTCAAAAACATCGAACGACAGACATGAGTAGGTGGAAACTCTACCAAGTGCTTTGGGCAGGCGAATGAAAGTCGCCATCTGCCTTCTTAGCTGTGGTGTGCTCTCCCTGGACTTTGGCGACAACGAGAGTCGGAACAGGAGATATCGCGCAGACGATCTTGGAGATAACCCTGTTCGTCGTGTATAGTGCCGGTGAGGCACAGCACAGTTGTCGGAGGGATTGATGTAGCTACACACCGAGGTAAAGCACAAAACCAATTGTTCAGTCAGCCAGTGAATGGCGCAAGAACCCGCGCCCATGGGAAGGATTGAGGCCCGTGTCTAGCGAGCTTCTGGAGTTCTCCTGGCGTTCCTGAATCCTGAAGGAGAATCTGACGAATCATCACCGCATGTACCCGCACATCACGAGAGAACCCTCGTTGGCTGGGACGGGCCGCTGGCGGTTGTGCTCCAAAGCAGGAAGGAATGAAGAGTCAAGACGGAGACAAATGTCGACTTGTTACACCCAAGCTGAAGGATGCGGCGTGCGGGTAAACTCGACGCCGTCTGAACATGGAGTAGTCAATTCCCCATCGTTAATTCCGAATGCTTTGTCAAGTCGGAGCAACTTCACTCGACATGGCTGATGGTCCTAAGGCAGGGGGTGTCTTCCTCGATGATCTCGACCTTTCCAAGCAAGGCTACAACCCCATGGTTGCTTACGCCCAAAGCAAGACAGCCACTATCCATTTGGCAAACTCGATCGACCGTCACTACAGCGCATTAGGCATTCGTGCCGTGTCGGTTCACCCGGGCATGATTTTCGAGACTTCGCTCGGTCGCCACATGTCGCAAGAAGAGCTTGCTGAATTTGCTCCCATGGCGCCTTTCGCCAGACCTCTTGCGCAAGGTGCAGCGACCACTGTCTGGGCAGCGCTCGAGCCTCACTTCGACAAGCAGGGTGGTGTGTACCTTGCTGAGACTGGTGTCTCGAGCGCCGCGAAAGAAGATGAGCATTTTGCTGGACCTGGGTATGCTCCTCATGCCTTTGACGAGACAGCTGAGGAGAAATTGTGGAGGCTTAGCTTTGCTGCCGTCGGTTTGAAAGATGATGGTCACTGAATACCTGGTTCCGTTAGACAGATGGCCGTTTGCGCGACTTGCTCTGGCTATATGTATTCAGGGAGATCCCTTGTATTGTAGTCGTTCACCTTGCGGTACCGCTAGATTGAAGCGGATCTTCATGAGACTGGCCCTCTCCTTGAAATGCTTCTATACCGTTCGCTCCACGGGGCGGGCAAGTATCCTCAAGCCTTGCCAGACTTTGACTGTAATCATCCCCTGACTTGTGACAATATCCTCGAGCTTATGGGCACTGGACAAGACGAAGCTGTCGACCAGGCCAGCAAGGACACATTCCATCTGTGTCCTTGCATATAGCTCACCAATACACTTGCGAGGGCCTTGACCGAAAGTCATGAAAGAAAAGGCCGACTTCGCTCCTCCATTCGCATCATCCAGCCATCGATCAGGATTGAATCCTGTTGCGTCGACACCCCATTCATCAACATTCCTGTTCATTGCCCAAGTCGAAGCTGTGATGACGGCACCAGGGCGGGGAATGGAGGTCTCGAGAAGTGTGGTCGGGGACGTGGACTCGCGCCAGATGACGGGGACGTTGGGCCTGAGACGCAGACTTTCATTGATAACTGCTCGCAAGTAGGGGATCTTGTTGAAGTCGTCTTCGACAAAGCCCTGCTCCTTCCAGTCGCTTGAGTCGCCAGGCGCTGACGTGATTTCATTCCGGAGTCGAGTCTGTACCTCGGGATGGTGGATCAGAAAGTAGACGACCCAGGTCAAGGCAGTTCCAATCTCTTCGTGCCCAGCCGTGACCATGGTCAGAGCATTGTTGACGACTTGTGCAGGCGACAATAGATCCCGTCTCATACAGTCAACCATGTTTTTGTCATCGAGGTCTTCTTTCTCTTGTCCGTGATCGTGCGCCGCCATATTCTCGGCTGCCTTCTCTTGCACAGTCTCCCGGACTTGACCTGTCATGTTGCGAGCATATTGTAACGCCTTGATCGGGAGGGCTTCGAGCAGCCAAAAGGGGAAGAGGTGCATGATGACCTCGAGCAGGTTGGCGTCGGCGCTGGTGTTGAAGAGCTTGAGGTAGCCCAGTGTGTTCTTGTCCTTCGGCGACTTGAGCGAGTCGAAGTCTGCGCCGACGCAATCCTTCCCAATTGTGTCGAGGCCCATCTGGCTGAGCACTCGGCTAAGGTTGAAGGGTGTTGTGTCGGTGGTGGGAGAGGAAAGTGAGGTGTTCTGGTGATCGATGGCCTGGACCAGGTCTAGGGCGGCGGACGAGAATAGTTGATACCAGTGAGGCTTGCGGGCGGGACTGAAGGCGGGTTGCAGTCCTCTACGGACAGTCTGGGATAGTCAGTACAAGACGGCGGCGGAGGGGTGGAGACACTGGTGTCGCTAATCTTGTGGTTTTCGCCTTCGTCGACGACGAGATTGTCGCCAGCGAGGACCCGGATGAGCTGTCCCTGGGCGCTTGGTTTAGTGTAGAGATAGGCGTCCTTCTGGAGCAACTGCGCAAGCCCTTGGGTGTTTGTGACGTGGAGGCGCTCGTCATTGAGGATGCCAAAGTAGCGAATCAAGCCGTCATTGGGCACCTCGTTGGCCCATCTGAGGAAGTCGGACGTGTCGGGCTCGATAAGCAATCTCTTCCATATCGCGCCCTGATCTGGCGTGGGCAGATCACGGTATGGACTGAGATAGGCATAGACAAAGATCTTGTACGCGCCATGTGCAATCCAGAGGGCAACCGCGGCGCACGCGACCAAAAAGATATATCCCATTCAAATTGTCCGAGGCTGATCTTTGTCGATTGGCGGCACCAGCAGATTTGTTAAGGTCGAGCATGAGGAGAGACGAGTCGAATAATGTCAAAGTTGTTGAGCGTCGACTTGAACGGTTACATCATCGCTTCTCATCGAGTAGTTACCCTTGGAATGGCGGCAGAACGTGCCCCGAGACCAACATGATATAGTCAAGGTCACCTCTGGCATATATCGAATGTCCACTTGAATAGACGCGAATCATGCGACATATGCAGCGACGGCGCCTGATGTGTAAACAAAATCATGTTGATGATAGTGAGGGAGACGCGCTGATCGATGCTCCGACCCGGACGTCAGCTCCGCGCGGCCAAGCATTTCACTCCGACTCACTGCATCCACCACCTGGGGCGCTTCGCTTGCAGACAAGAACAATCTGCGTCGTCCTTTAGCTTGAATTCGGCATGCCCGAAAAAGTTCTGGAACCACTGATTTGCCAGGCTCCAAAAGTCGCCGAAACGTCTGATCCGGGCTTCTCAGCCTCACCCGTTGATTGGATGCAAGCAATGTAGTACTTGTCTTGACTCAGCTTATACGCAATGCCGTCTCGCATAGATCGACCACGTGCCTGAAGATCCCACGTCAGACTGTCGGCACGGGCAAGTCCGCGCGACGCTTTTAACGGTCACCAAGCAAGCAGTCCTACAGCTTTCCAGGCCGTTTCTTCCCCTCTTCCAAACGACGGCGTTGCCGATGCGCTGGGCTGGGTAACGAAGAAGACGAAGCAAGCGTGGGTGCATCATGGAATCTCGTATGAACGAGAAGGTGTGGCACGAAGAGACGACGAGGACAGGGCTGAGAATTGGAGAATCCCCAACGGCGTGTCTTACTTTGTTGTCGGCAACTGGGACAGGAACTGCACGGTTGGGAAACGGTGTGGTCAGATTGCCATTGCGCGGTGTGGTGTTTTCCAGCACCTCGAGTCTCGCTCTTTGTTCAGAATAATTTCCCTCGGTAGATGCTATACCAAGCACTTGGCTAGGGATTTATGCAGGAAAGTAAACATTCCAGACGATGTTTTGACAACATCCTGTTTGACTAAGGTTCGAAGCAAGTATGTTCTGCTTTCGCGTGCCATGCGAACACAGTCGTGTGTCACCGACACATGGTCCAAAGGCTTTCTAGCCTATATCCAGCTCTCAACGGTCGGCTCGAGCAGATGCTGCAACCTCGTATCTGTTGCCGGACAGGTGACTGTTTTCAGGGCATCTTGTGGTGAGTTTGACAGCCGCTCCATAACCCACCTCGTTGATGCAGGAATAATGTCTCACTACTTGTCAGGAATGGTGGAAACCATCACAGACCTTCAGCACATTGCCACACAGCTACGGTCTCAGCTGCTGAAGATAGCCCAGGCTGTTGAGAGCTGCATCCTTTTACCATGGACTTCGAAAGACGCAATCAAATCACACGGTCAATCCAAATCCAAGGGGAGCAATCTTTGAATTGAAAAGCTAATCTTGGCCAGACCATACAAGGCACAGCTGTATGCCATGTCCAGAAAAACTCATAGAACCCACCATCTCAGTATGCACTAGCACGGTCGGGAAGTCCGAACCTTCCCACCGCATCGTGATGAGAAAAATCGAGTCTGGGGGAGCGGTCCTGCAAAAGCGTGGAAACTAGAGCAGCTGAGATCCAGCCCCAAGCCTGATGTCTCGTCCTCGGGGACGGCAGAGAACGGTGGTCTGAACAAAGTCGTTGCAACTTACGCGACAATTGATCGAGTCGCGGAGTGAGTCTTTCTCAACGATGTCGTTGTATGAACCTGAAACCAGCTTGCGAACAGGCACTTGTCGCTGAATGCCGGAGTCAGCCAGTTAGTTGATGATTGTACATGCTGGCAAGTAGTGTCCTGCAGGAACAGAAAAGCAGCAGGATACGGCCAACCGGAGTTTTCTTCGATGGGCGGTAAGCTTTGACACTAACCACTTCTAGACGCAATCTCGCTGCTTCCGATCGTGGAAGAATCGTGCTTTCCCCCGCGTGGTATCGACGCGACCTGATTTAGAGTCTCTTACTTTGACTCTTTTCACCCTTCCTTCATGCCAAAGTCCGCTCTGTCCAAGCCACTCGCCCCGTAACCATCAAGCGCCCTCAAGCCCCTTAGATCCTCAGCTGCTATCGACGACTCTAAGAGAGCAAATGGTGGGCTTTACCTTTACCATTTGCGCCTTATGGCGTTTACAAGGACATTATCGAGCACTCGGCCATGCCGAGACCTCTTCTATCCCCGAGCCTCAGTGAGAAAATGTCGTGCTATATAAGTCAGAGAGAGTGCGGCCGATACAGGTCAGGTTCAAGCTCATCTCCTTCTTCTCTGCCCAGTCTCAAATTCCATCAAGATGCGTTTCTCATCTTATGCTCCTCTAGCTTTGGCGGCCAACTTAGCTGCTGCCATGCCCCGGCCTCAAGAGATTGACTTCGATATTGTAATGGCTGCACCCGACCCGACCTTCACGGAAGCTGTTGGTGTCACTGCATAGTCTATCACCATCAACACCGATGCTCTCATCGCATCGGCTACCGCCGCCATCTCCTCTGTAGCTGTCGACGTTACCGATGTTCTCTCAGCTACTGCAATTGTACAGGCTAAAAGAGCTGCTGCAACCTGTGTAACACAAGCACCTGGAGCAACTTCCGTCCCTGATTTCTCTGGAGATACCGCTGCCCAATTCCTTGCCGAGAACTATTTTTCTTCCGTCGCCTCTGCTAATGCAGCTGCACCTAGCGGCTACACTCAAGCATTCGTCAACAAGCAAGCCGCTAACAATGCGTAAGTCAATGCCGGAAGGTCCTACAGTTCACAATGCTGATTCGAAATTTCAGTTTTGGTTACTTGGGGTTTGTCACCATGGACACTTATAATGTCAAGCAGTGTGCAACCCAGTGCGATAACAAATACGGTTGCTCATCCTTCAACGTCTACTTTGAGCGTGATCCCTCTAGTAAGAAACACTCCAAAATGGTCTATCTGGATACAAGAACTAATTTTTGTCATCAGTTGATCCCACCGGGACCTTATGCTCGAACCCTCTTGCGGTTACTATGATTAAATGTGTAATGTGGTCCGGTTAAGTCACTGCCGCAAACGCTGTCAACGTAGGTTAGGTTCGTGGTGGATTCTCCGTTGCTGTAGCCGGAAACAACGGTTATGTGACCAACAAGATCTCTACACCTGACGGCTTTCAGACCGGTGTTCCTTTCGGCAAATTCGCTATGAACGCGCCCTACGATGCTCAAGGCTACAACACTGTGAGTAAATTTGCTTGCAAAAAGAAGGCTTAAATTAACACCAAATAGTACATGGGCGCTAAGATGTTCACTGGAAACTGGGATGTTACTCAGTGCTCAGAGTACTGCAAGGCTCAAACCACCTACAACAAGAACACTGCTCCTAAGGATGGCACCCCGTATAAGGCCTGCCGATTCTTTAACACTTATCTGCTCTAGGTTAAGAAGGCCGATGGTACAATCCTCCCCTAGGGCCAGTACTGCTCACTCTACACCGAGGCCTGGCCTGTAAAGTACGCTGTCAACAGCGGATCGTGGCAAGGAAAGGACCAGTACACCATCGACTACAGCTTTGGCTTCACTATGACTGACGCTGGTATTGATCCTACTGTCGGAGATTCTACTGGCGCCAAGTACCAAGCTGTCGCCGACATCAAGTGGTCATCCCTGCAGCCTTTCTGCTCGGCCTACCTTGGCTATATAACCCCTCTGTCCACTATGACGGCTACTGCTACCAGCACTCCCGTGGTAACCTCGACCGCTTACTCGACTACAACAGTGCTCCCGAAGCGCAAGCGTGATGGCTCCAACTCACCATACCCTGGCTTGAGCACCGATTCTTCGATCGGCGGTGTCGCCCTGATCGATGCCAATGGCACCAGGTGGTATTCTAGCGAGATCCCATCTGGCGGGCCCCTAGGCTCAATACATAGCAACTCGACACTGAGCAAGCGCTCTGTGTCAATTCCAGCGGGTCTCGCCAAGTACCAGCCTGCCGTCATCTCTGCAGCCTGTGCTATGCAAGCCACACCTGTAACCTCTACATCCTTACAAACGAGCTTCACAACGGTCACCGGAGCTGCTACAACCACCGTCGTATCGGTAGTATCGACAGTAACTTCCATTCCATCATACACACCTTACCTTGAGAACCTCTACTTCGCAAGTGGAGGTGCATCTGCAATTGCCGACCAGGACGAAAACGGATATGTGTATGCCGGAATACGTAACAACAAATATTTCAGTGATCTCGCAGTGAAGGCCGGTTTCTTCGTCGACTCAACCACTGGGCACTTTAAGGACGTTCAGGGTCGCACCGCTGTGGCTTACGATAACGCCGGCCAGCCCGCAAGCCCCTATGTCATTTTCTTCAACTCTGAACAAATGGCGCAAGTTGACAACTACTTGCCCCTGATCTGCACATACCCAACCACTCTGCCAAGCAAAATCAGCTGTTCCGCGACGATGAGCAATGGCGATGTATACTCGCATTTCGTCGCTGTGCAGGACAGCTACTACCAACTTGCTGCCTTGTGTATAGCTGATCGCCCAGCCTCTCAACTCCATGGTGACCAGTACATAGCATGGTCAGATGCCGCTCTGACTCTTTCCTAGCCATGTGTGCTTGGCTGAAAGAATATTGATGGCAGTGGGAGTTCTCATGGGTTGGAATGGAGTTACACGTCTGAGTCAATTGGAGTTTGGTATCGGAGAAGGGTCATGGAGTATTTTCTGTCTTCCTTTGCAATAGATCATGTGTAAATAGACATAGCATGAAGCGTCTTTAAGCTTGAACACATGCAATTTTTTGCATCTGCCATCATCTGCGGTGACCGCGAAAACCGATGTCAAACCCAGCCTGCCCCGTCTTTCGTTCTCCAATAATGAGACCGAGGAACTACGAACTCAGCCATAACAAGCTTGGCCCTTGATCAGTTCTCACGTTAAAACACAAGGAATGACTGTCTTACTTCAGTGGACGATGCTTCATCAACCTGATAAGGCAAGTGTTGGGAACAGCAAGTTGTCAGAACTGGCTGTTGCTCGTGAACGACTAAAAGCAGAAGTGATCTGCTACTCGAACGGACACATCCATCGCATCGCCCTGGTTTAATCATCATGTACAGCATATTAATGCTTGATCCTCTATCAGGCAAATCAGCCGTCTTGCCTTGGGAAACACCACATGGACATCAGACTCTGAGTTCTAGTTCAACATCATCAATCCAGAATTCTGAAATTGCTCGATCACACGATGATCCATACCCGATTTTTTGTTCGGATCGTGGACCTTCCATTGTGAAATCCTTTTTCTCAGCCGAAAGCTATGGAACAGTAAGGGCAAGTAGATCAGATGCTGTAGCTTCGATGTCAAGCGACTCTCCTGCGAGATACGCTTCAATGGCCTCAATTCCATCGAGCCACACCCTCGGAAGGTCTGTATATCTGCCACCAAGAATAATTCAAGTCACGACAGATATAAATGGTACTCGCGGAACAAAGATCTAGCTTCGGTCGCTTGCAGCAAGATTGGGTAACCAGCTACAGAGGCTCTCCACCTACAATGCCCAATTTCCAGGCTTCAAAAAGAGCAGCAGGATTGTTTCACCTCTCTGGACTTAAATTACAGATTATTTGCAGCTCCATCGCGTACCACCTAACGCGAACAACAGAAATACACTGAAGACGAGCTTGTGCGTGTTTTCTCATTTCGAGGCAAGTTTTGGCCGTTCTGTACCGACTTTTCGGAGTTACTCGAATTAGAAGTAGCTAAAGAAAAAAACCAATCGCACATAGGAAAGTCGTAAGAGGACGTTTTAGTGTAAAAAATAAATTTATACAATTAACGAAAGTGTGCTTACCGTACGAAAAACATGAAAACCTCTAAAACTAAATCCTATTATAATAATATATATAATGTTCTTCTATCCTATTAAATCTTTAAAACCTAAGCTTAGTAGCTTAGTTATAAGTGTAGACCTGCTTAGATCTAATATTACCGTAGTAGTCCGAACCCTTAGGGTTAGTAGCAGTAACAGCCTAGCCGTTAACGTTATTAATACCGAACTAAGCTAACTCGTTACTCTTATCGATAACAGTAATAATAGCGTAAGTAGGAGTAGGGTTAGTAACGTAACCCTAAAACCCTATTAAATTAATTAATTAATTTAATTAATTAGGCTAATTAGTTCTACGGCAAACCTATAAGCCGTCTCCTATTAGTTCTTCCTTCTTTATCCCTATCTGTCCTTATTCTATTCTAGCTTCCCCTTACTCGATAGCTCTCGTCTACTACGTAAACCTGCCGGACTTATAAAGGAAGTAAAGGACCGCCTTTGCCGCTAGGAGGTTCGCCTTCTATTTTCTCTTCGGCCCGTCGACTAGTTACCTATTTCTCGGGTCTTCCTAAGGATTAAAACCCCCGAGTATATAAGAAAGGTCCCTCTACCTATACTCTACTGCCTCGATAGTAATTTAGCGATCTTCGCGTAGGAGGTAGTATTCGTATATAACGTGCTTAATAGTTTCTCGCGTAGCTCCGTATTCGTACCCTACTAAGTCTATAAGTTCTATCCGGTATAGGTTACTCTTTAGTCGGGAGTGCCCTATCTAGTATTAGGCGAGTATCGACGCTTCTTCCGCTAATAATGCGTTATATACTATCGCTATATAAAGGCCTAGAAGAGCTCCGTCTAGCTTCTACGTATATAATCTAGTATATAGCGTATCTCGTAGTCTTATATTCCTAGCCTATTTCTAGGTCTCGTCTAGCTTCTTTTAAAGTGTCTTTCTAGCTACCCTTACGGCTATCTTCTTCGTAACTCCTTTATAGCGTTATTAATATATTTTCGACTTTATAATGTTACGATTACGTTATTCCGGAGGTGTTAAAGGGTTAGTAGGTATTAGGAGGTTAGTAGATGTCTAGGAGTCCGAGGAGGTTAGAGGGTTAGTAGGACTTTCGAGTTACGTAGTAACGCCTTCTACCTCTCCCTATCCCTCCCTTAGCACCTTTTTTACCCGCTTATCTACCTACTCGTTACCGTATATACCCCTATAGGCCGGTACCTACTATAGAGTAACTGTTACCCCTTCCTAGGCCTAGAGAATATCGATATACCTACGGATGTACCGAACTATATACTGCCCGTATAGACTTATACCTTCCGTTATATAGCGTATAGCTTATTTACTATCTGTCGTAATAATAGTTTTCGTCGGAAGTAGTCTTATCCTCGCCTTATACGCTAGGGCTATCTTAATAGCGATAAGTTCCGTAACCGTCGGGTCGCCGGCTACCTACTTAGGTAGTCGCTTCTAGGCGATAATCTTCCTAGTATCTCCCTATACTACTACGATACCGCTCTCCCTATTCTTCTATACCGCATTTATATAAAATGTATACCTCTCTTCCTACCCTTCTTTCGGCCGTAGTTTTCGGATAACTGCCCCTACCTTCTCTTCTAGATCCTTAACTAAGTACCCTAGAATACCTTCTATCTAAGGTTCTTAAAGAACTAGTTCTACCGTCTCTATTAGGCTGTCGGCCGTTACCCCTATAATTAGCCCGAACTTCCGCGCGGTAATAGCTAGTAGGGACGGGAAACTCTTACCTTAGGTAAAAAGCCTAGTTAGGTAGTCGAATAGAGGGTTCGTATTCGGTACTATAAGACTCTTAACTAGGTAGTTCGCTACTTTCCTCTATAGCCGGTCGGCCGTAGTTTCGATGCCCGCTTCGGCTTAAGCTACTACTATATTACGGATTAAACCGCGATCTAACGATTAAATAGTAGCCTATAATATAAGGAGGTTTTACTAAGGAGGAAAAGGAAGGGGACGGAAAGTCCGTCCTCTTCGTACGACGCTTATATACGCTAAGTCGGGGAATTCCTAGCGTCAGCCGAGGTCAGGGTCGCTGCTGTAGCAAGACCCTATAATAATACCTCCCTCCTTACCGCTAAGAATACCGCCGCGCGACGTCCGTTTAAGCTCTATTAAGCTCGTTATTTTCCCTCCTCCCTACCGTATAAAGTAATCTAAAGTAAATTAACTCCCTTACTTTACGTATTTCTATCTCCGTACGACTAGCTACTTCTACTATCTTCTACTTCGCTCTACTCGATTCTCCGTCACTTAATTTTCCGTTCTTTCACTTAATTCTCTGGTCTAGTAAGTACTTATTATATTATATAGTCGCACCCCTTCTTCTTCCTTTTTATAATAACACCGCTTCTATCTACCTTTCTATACGGTACTTCGCCTCTCTTACTCTTTCCCCTTTCTAACATTATACGATAGGACAATTATACGACATTATTATATCGCTTATTCCCTACCCTAGTAGCGCTCCCGCTACTACTAGCCCTCTCTCTATCGTTACTTACTTTCCTAGACCTAAGATCCCCTATAGCGGTAAGTTATACGGTTAGTTTATCCTAACTACTATTAGCGATACCTCTCTTAGCACTATCTGCTATACCGATACCTAGGTTTGTTTAACGTGTTCGTACGATCTCGTTCGGTAGCTAATATTCGTAGCGCGCTATCTAGCAGCTACCTCCTTACCCTTTCTTACTATCCCTCTACGCTAATAGCACCCCTACTATTACTGTCGCCTAGGTTCGTTTATTTCCTCCCTTATATAATAGTCGACTTCTTACTAATAGGCACCTAGATCTATAGCGCTCGTTAGTCGTACGTTAACGCTCTGCTTATCGCTTCCTATAGCACTCGCTACCCTACCGCTTACGCTTACTCTACTATCGGCACCTTCGGTAGCCCTATCGTACGTATCGCTGGTTTCTGCGCTAGCGCCTATACTTCGTACGAGTAGAAGTCGCACTATTAGTAGTGCCCTTACGTTAATAATAACGAGGCCTTCGTTCCTGCCGCTACCCCTCGCTAGGTTCCTCCTAGTATGCACCTTCTTACCCTTTAAGTTCGTCGTACGATCGTCTTCTCTTAGTTTAGCCCTAAGCGCTATTCTTCTTTTACGCTAGAGCGTAGCTCGCGCCTATTTATCTAGTTAGTCGTACGAAGACCTAGGCGGGCCTTCTTAGTACTACCTATTTAGTCACTTTTTAATCGAATCCTCTTCTTACTTATTCTTCTCTTCTTATCTTCCCTATACCGCCTATCGCGTAGTTCTTCGTACGATGTCTAATTTATTAACGCTATAGCTCTAGCGTCGAGAGAGCTATTAGTGTTCTAGAAGAGCTAGGTCTTTACGAGCTAGCGGTCTAAGGTAGTAGTCTCTATTAACTGTGCTATAGATTCCTAAGTTTCTTAGGTATACCCTATCTATCGTATAAGGTATTTAACCTACTATCCCCGGCCTCTCTTCGTATAACTCTCGTTAATAATTTCTTTAACTAGGTACTCTTCTTCTCCGTCTACTTAGATCGTAGGTAGTTATATATCGTCCGAACGTTAGGACAGTAGTAGGTCTCCGGCTACTAAGTAAATAAGGTCGATATAGAATATATCGTAGATGCCTTTAGGGGTATTAAGTCGTATAGCGTATATACCGATAACTTCTTTTACAGTATACTTAGCGTTCTTCTAGTCTAGTTTACGGTAAGGTCTAATTATACGAATGTTCTTTAAATAGAGCC